TATGCGATTGGCTGGCTCCACAAACGTCGCCTGTGTGTGTTTCTCTCTTCGCCCAGGCGGCGGCGCTGGCATCGCCATCAATAGAACTTTGGGGGAGCGTTGCAGCTGAAAGTGCTGGCTAGCTCTTACGCAGCTGCAGTTGTCGAGCGACGTGGTATTGCTGTGGCCATTGTAGCGCCGAGTTTTTGCCGTCAGCTGTGAGCCGTACGCACCACTCGGTATGTCTTTAGTGAAATCGGTATGCCTAAGCCATGCCGTGATATCAGCAAAACCACTGCTACGCGCCTGGGTGCCAAACAGGCTCTGTGTTCGTGAAGGGTGGGCCGAAGCTGTCGTTGTTTGACGTCCCGAAGGATGAGAATAGGCGTAAACATTGAGAGAAGAACCGGTGCAGAGCGGACATGCCCTTGGAAGACACCAGCGCAGTGTGCGAGCTTTACTTCGAGCCGCATTATGTGCTCAGAGACTATGTGCATATTATTGAGGGAAAAGAAGTGCGGATACCTCGCGGGAGACCCATTCTCCGCGCTCGTTTATTCAGACATAAATACACAATTCACTTGTTTATTACAGACATAAATACACAATGTGAATTATGTCCTCGATCTTAGGCAAAAGATGGCCCGTATGTCTCCTGACGAGGCCTTCACCCCAGACAACACCGTTCCCCAGACTAACCAATCTCCCTGCCAGGCAGCTTATAGAATGTTTTTAGTAAACATTCCCTAAAGTGAAAATGAAAGAGTTTGCAGTTTTTTTTTGCCCGACGGCATGATGGTGGCTGTAATCCAAGATGCCATGCCAAGAAGAATATTCAAGCAATATTGTTTTATTCTATTTTTTTCAACAAGTTGAGCCAGTTGATATCAGTGATGACATCACGGTATGCTGCTGAAGCTCTCCGGCCAGGCTCTTTGAAAGAAGAAACACTGAAGGACTTCCTCCACCTTGATCAGTGGGAAAGGCATGCCAAAGGAGCTGGTGGATTTTTAAGTGACTCCGCGGCAGCCGGCTTGCGTGTCACCATTTCAAGCACTCTGGAGTTGCTTGCCTACTTGACATCCAAGGTTCGATACAAGGACCTAATGATATCAAGGACCAGCCAGGACCCACTCGAGAATTTCTTCGGTATTGTAAGACGAGCTTCTGGCAATAATGATTACCAAACTCCTACACAGTTCTTAATCCCTGTGAATTGCCTCTCATTTTACGGTCTGGTTAGGACTGTTAGCAATGAAAACTACGAGGAGGGTACCCTGACCTCCTTGCTGGAAGTTGACTCGCTCGAATCATCAACTGATAGAGAGGAGTGCAGTAAAACGGCTGCTACCACTGCAGCTGAAGAGAAAACAAAACAAAATCATGGTACACCAGCATAATGCTGGCCCGCAGGCTTCAGATAACCACAACCAGCACGTAGTGAGAAGCGACTTCAGGCTCATTTACCATATTTCGTGCTATGTTACACGAAAATGCGTTGTCAATGCCAGAACAAAATGCCAAGATTGCGTCAAGCTGCTAACCGTGACCTCCCCTGGTGAAAAATTTCAGCTTGCTCGGCTATAAACTATTGTGACCGCGGAGGCCTCCTCCATCCCTCTAGTCAGCTGTACGGCTTTGTGAAAAAGCTCGAAGACATATTCACAGATTGTTTCTGCCAGAGCGAGCTGCACTCTGACAGCATTATGGACATGCTGGCAGTTGTTCAGCACAGACTTAACATCGAAATTACCTGCAGTGGGCTTGCAGCTATTCTCACAGCGAAAGTAATTGGTTTTTACGTTGCCACATGTCTTTATTTTTATGTGAAAGGTCTGAACAGTGACAAAGGAGGAAAGCGGCAGAGGGCCAAGCAGCTGAAGCTGAGCCGTTGCGCATGATGAAGTGAATAAAGTGTGAGTAAATCAGTTATTCAGTTGCTGAATATTGTGCTTCAGTTTTGAAAATAAGAGCTTCATGTCAGGAACAGGAGCTTATACATAGGCCTAACAGATGTGTAACTGCGTAATTATAGTTATTAAAAACCGCGAGCAAACTACTGTGCAATGTGCAACAACCGAATTAGAACAAAGGATATTTCAGCTACACTCTCACTTTATCATAGCAAAGGCACAAACTCAGCCAGCACGCCTGCATGTTAAAGCTCGGCTAGGAAGCGAGCGTACGCTGTTTTCTAATTATCTGGTGGAAGGCATAGCACAATCTTGCTACAAAATCATTTTAGGTTAGGTCTACGCAGCATGTAACCGTATATCTGGTCACTGTAATAATAATATTTTTTGGGGTTTACCGTTCTAAAACCATTACATGATTATGAAAGACGCCGTAGTGGAGGGCTCTGGAAATTTGGACCATCTGGGGTTTTTTAAAGTGCACTTAGGTCGAAGTACACGGCCGGTCACTGTATGAAACCGCATATATTGAGGGGTACACCATCCTTTTGAGCTCGGCGAGGTGTTATGATGGGGAAGATACAATGTGGCCTGAACAAATGTTTTGCTTCTCAACATGTGCGAAAAATTCAAGTTCCCCCGACCCCAGAAAAACAAAAATCATTAACTGCATCGCACTAGAAAGGAGCAAGCATATCTGCATAAGCTGCCATCAGACTGACTTTCGGCAAATCTATCGCAAAAAAAAAAAGGCAAATAATGGTGAACCGAGAGCAACATACGCTCTCAGTACAGTCAAAGGGAAGTCAATACAAGCAAGTGTATTATAAATATCGAAGAAACGCGCGTCGCAACTTGTACGAGCGGTGAGCAGCTTCTTCAGGCGAAGCTTCCATCGAAGATGCCTGTGGCGCCACCTCTGCTATGCGACACCAACTGCGTCCGAGGAGCGGCGGAGTAAGCCCACTGCTAGGGTTCCAGCCACCCTACCACTGCCCTCTTCTAGTACCACGTTCCCTCCTCCGGGTCATAGTATACTGCACGGAGACCTTTCCTTCCTCCGTGGCACGGAGGCAGGAAAGGTGTTCTACTGTATCATCCACGGGCGGTGGCTCGCGCCACCAAGCCGTACACTTAAATGAACCAAAAACTAGATTTATTTTTTTCTTTAAACAGTGAGGTTGAGGATTCGTTCTTTGCAGTGAAGGGTTTAATATTCACTCGTGCCTTGACTTTAGCCACCAATCAGGAAACCTCCTTCTAGTTAATTTTACCCGCTTAAAGTCTATTTTGCCTTCCCTGTCCCTAAACTCCAATGCTTTGAAAAACTCTGCGCCATCATCCTGAACTATAGGGTGAAGCCCTTTACAGAACATTATCAAGTGTTCGGCACTTTCCTCTTCCTCTCCACACGCACTGCATACCGTGTCTACCCCTTCGTATTTCGCCCGATATGTCTCGGTTCTCAATACTCCCGTCCTGGCCTCAAACAGTGGAGAACTACCCCGAGTATTATCATAGATCCTTTCCTTGGCAATTTCCTGCTTAAAATTTCGATAGACTTCTAGTGCGAACTTTTTAATCATGCCAATTCTCCGAATATCGGTCTCAGCTTCCTTCACCTTCTTCTTAACCGATAATTCTTCTTGGTTTGGCCCCTTGCTGTTTTCCAAGTATTTACCAGTCAATTTTCTGGTTCGCTTCCTCCATTTTGTATCGACATTCTTCGTGTACAAGTAGCTGAATACCTTCCTAGCCCAACGCTCATCCCCCATGCCTCTCAATCGCTTCTCAAATTTTATCTTGCTGCTAGCTTCCCTGCCCTCAAATGATGTCCATCCCATATCACCTTGTACTCCCTGATTTGGTGTATTCCCGTGAGCTCCTAAGGCAAGCCTAGCTATTCCACGTTGCTTAATTTCTAATCTTGCTTGAACTTCTGATCTCATGCACAAGACCGCATTGCCGAACGTCAGCCCAGGAACCATGACCCCTTTCCAAATTCCTCTCACAACACCATACCTATTGTAATTCCACAGTGCCTTGTTTTTCATTACCGCTGCATTCCTGTTACCTTTAGTCGGCACGTATATTTCGTGTTCCCTTAGGTACTCGGCCTTATTGCTTATCCATACGCCCAGATGTTTGTATTTATCGGTTATATATGTAGAGTGACATCCTGTATTCAAAGATCACTACCGCCATTGTCATTAAAAATCATGACTGCTGATTTTTCCTTACTGAATTTGAAATCTAACCTATCTCCCTCATTACCGCAGATGTCCATTACCGCAAATGTCTATCAATTTCTGTAAATCTGCCTTGTTGTCGGCCATTAACACTATGTCATCTGCGTACATCAATGCTGGTAGTGCCTGTTCAATGAATTTTCCTTGTTTGACGAAAGAGAGGTTGAAGTGCAGTCCACTTTCCTCTAATTTGGCCTCTAATCCTTGTAGGTACATCATGAATGATAAGGGTGACAGAGGACATTCCTGCCTAAGCCCCCGTTTTACCTCTGCAGGCTTGGATACGTGTTTTTGCCGCTTTATAGCTACCTTGTTACCTTTATAGATATCCTTTAAAAGATCAGTGACTCCATCTTCCACGCCTAGTGTGTCCAGTATTCCCCATAATTCCTCTTGAACCACGCTATCGTACGCTCCCTTGATATCCAAAAATGCTAGCCACAGGGGCCTGTGTTCCTTTTCTGCTATTTCGATGCACTGCGTCAGTGAGGCTTTGGCGATTGGTGCCAACGCCTCCTAGATTTCTTGTGCCTGCCGGATGAGCGCGAAACGCTGGTCATCTATAGTGACGCTGCCTACGTAGGAATTTGTACTTGACCTTTGAGATCGGCAATTTTAGCGTTGGCTACTAATTTCAAAGCATGCCTTGTGTTAAAAAAGTTGCTTGCTGATTGACGGCGTCACTTACGTAGGCTTAATTTTAATTACGTTTACGCCTGTTTAAAACTTTTCACGTTATTTTTGTTGCATATCAGCTCTTAAAACGTAAAAACCAATTTGAAGACACCCCTACTTGAGTAGCGCCACCACCGTAGTTCCGACGACCGCCGCTCCCCAAGTGACCGCCAATAATCCGGCAGGCACGAGAAATCGTGGAGGCGTTGTTGGTGCGTGCGATGCAGAAGAGAGCGCGTGTTTGGCGCGCGGTCAACTAGTAAAGAAGGATAAAAAAGGATAAACTAAATAACGTGAGTATTAGAGGAGATGGCGGTGCTTATGTTACGTTCATATGCATGGTTTCTCTACCCGCTGTCAGTTGTGCAAGAGACCGAACATCTTCAGGTTTCGTAACCTGGCGCTGTAGCGTTCTTTTTGTCCTTCGATCGTAATCGCACGTTTCTACACTTGGAGCGGCCACTCGCCGCGGCGGTTTGTATGAAACCGATTTAGCCGAAGGAGAAAAAAAGACTTGGAGGAGGTGGCTTCCGGACTGGATTTTGAAGTTTGTGATAAAATTAACAAGATTGTTCACAGTTTTCTTACTAGGAGAGCTTGCGTTCTGTGACAGTGATACCAAATATACTTCTCTACGTTTACTTTGAGAGTACCGGTTCGCACTTAATGCAATTAACATATTTTTTTCGGATGATGCAGAATTGTTGTTTCTTTACGTATACATGGTCGAAGAGTTATTGATTGTAATAATTAAATAAGCACACAGCAGATATTGATTACGTATGCAGATCAACCGGTCTTGGCGGGCGCTCTTCGGCAGTGCCTGTGCCTCAGCTTATGAGATCTCTGATATCATGAAAAAGGCACGCACGCTTGATTATAGTTCTGTGAAATGTGTAGCTGTACTGGAAAAATCCTAGAAACTCTGTGTTATCGGGTAGCTCATATGACGCGAGTTAACTGTGTTGTGCTGTTTCTCGAATAAAAATTGCTAGTCCGAGCAGGCTGTATTGCATGTATACAGTAAAATAAATAGCGAACTTTTACAACGAACGAACATTGTTACCGTCGGCGTTTATTACCTCCATGAGCGCGATTTAAAGCCTTAAAGATTAGAATTATAATTTTTGTTTTTAGTATTTCTTTTTAGTGGGACCAGCTAGGGTCGTTTTGATCGTAATTAGGCTGGAGTAGGCTCCATGCGCAGTCTTGTGACCTTTGTTTTTCATGCAGCTCGCAGAAGCTCGTATTTAGCTGTTTAAATCAGGACGAGGAGCTTTGAAAATGATCTGGGTCTAACCATAGAAGGGGTTTTGTGAGAATCGCTGAGCTATCCCTGGCATTGACTCTCGTATGTTGGCCTCACTTACACCCTAAAAAGCAGTAGGTGGACACGAGGAGTTTGCTTAGTTTTCAACTTTGCGAGCTTTCAATCACAAATATCACTAATGGCACCACAAGTGAGCAGCTTACATCTTTCAACTGCGCTTAATCTGAAATTCATGTTCTGCTAGAAATCGTTCGTGCTGATTTATGTGCAAGTGAAGTTATTTTGTTCTCTTGTAATAGCTTTAAAGGCTGCCAGGCCACGTTCTTCCACCTCAGGGGGACCATTATATATCAGCCTATGAAGTTGCCATTTGTTATTACAATGTCTATGACATGAGATTGGTTTACATGGCCAGACAATTATTTATGCTTGTTTCGCAATGAGCCAACAAGAGCTTTGCTTTAAAGAAGTGGACAGGTTAAAAAGCTGCAACTGGCCTTGAGAGAATTTGTGACACCTTTTTGAAAACAATAGCAGGTCGGCATTTCCTTTGCGACGCGTTGACAGGTGACAACGGACAGGCTTCCAGGATGTGACAGTTTTTCATTCACCTACATTCTGGCTTGTTCTCGGGAAAATGGAAAAAAAAAGACGAAAAAAGTTCCTTCAGCATGACCTGTGGAAAATCTATCACAGCTGCAGAGATGGCTGAAGGTCAGTATTGAAAATGTTTCTCATGTCATCGCACCTACTTCGAAAGCACAGCAACACTGCTAAAATGGTTAAGGTGACAACACTCGAGCCGCTGCATCGACAAAAGTAAAAATATTAAAATATACTGCTGAGGCACTTGCATTCTTCTGAGAGCTTGGACTCATTGATTCTTTTGTTTATGAAGTACTGAGAGAAAGCAAGTTCTGTGTCTAGGGGTTATGATCACATTAGGACCAAGGTTGTCTGGCAGATAAAGCATATTTGGCACTGCAAAGCCATTTATTCTGAATCAAAGTATGCGTTGTTGTAAAACCAGTATTAGCACGAGTATAAATAAAACAGTAGGAAGTAGAAAATATTTTTTAGGATGTCAGCAAAAAAAAAAGATAACCGTATAAGCCCTCTGTACAGATGGTTAACTAGCGAAGCTTAAACATATGTTTTTGGTGTTTGTCAGAAGCTAGGATCTATTGGAGAGTCTTTTTTGTCGAGCATTTTATTTTTGTATCACCAAGTTTAAGAGAGGTATGCTTCGAACTTTACATGTGGTGACACTGCTTTAAAGGATATCGAGAGCACCTAAAAATTTTATGGGTAGCAATTCATGCCACGGCAGTTATCATCTCTGCCTATAGATGCTGATAAAGCCTTGAAAGAAACCAGTGAAAGCATGGGAGACCCTATGAGGTAGTATATGCTAACCTTGTTTCTTCTTTAGTTTTTGCACACTGATGATCTTATCCCCCAAATTGTCCTCCCTTTGCTGTAAAGCTGCATAAGTGAGCGTGTCTATTTTTTACATTTTCTTGTTTATTCTGTGTGCTTTCTTTTGGGTGCAGAAGGGAGAATGAAAGCATTGCCAACCGTAATTCTTTAAACTAGTTAGAATCCCATCAATCAATACAGTTAGCTTCCAATAAAAAGCGTTATGCACCTGTGGCAGTACATTATACATCTAAAAATTAAAAAAAAAAGCTTTTGTCTGTTCGCAGCTGTCAGTGGTATCTCAACTTGACTGCAAACTCAAGTTGCAAAAAATAGTGAACGGACGTGCTTGCTAGTTTCTGCTTGAAACCATCTCTCTGCTTCTGTCATTGGCCATGCACCTATCCTTCCATTAAGGACTATATAAAAAAAAATGGTTTCTTTTTGTTAAGTGTTGAAGGCAGCATTGAATGTGCTGAAATAGATAGACTGACAGAAACTTTAGTGAGTGTGGACACATTCATGATAAAGGAGGCTGTTGTGCACACAAAGATGCTGGAGACAAAATCAGACCTGATGCCTTGTGTTTCTTCCTGCATGCCTGCCTTCTTTTATCATCATATAGATAAACGCATTTCTACTCTAGAAAGAATCCCTGCAAGTAAGATACAGAAATAGAAAGCCTTGAAATTCCTGTTGCTTCATACTGCGGTATCAAGAGTGTAGCGAGGATTTCATACCAGCGTTGAGGGGGAGGAGGAGGTTTGGTGATGTTGCAGCTTCAGATCTCTAGTATGCGCACATACAGTGAGTGTTGAAAACAGTGAGGCTGGGCTCAGGGTTGAAACCCCCCCCCCCCCCCCCTTCTTTTACACAGCCCTCCTCAAGACTGGTTCTTTATTTTTAGCTCAGATAAGTAGTACTTGGAAAAAGGGAAATACTAAAATTGTCATGCTGTAAGAAAACTTACGAACTGACAACAGAATTATTACAACTGAACAACAGAACATATTACAAGAAAATATTTCCAAATCTGAAACCCCATCCTGATGTACAAGGACTGGAGTTACAGTAAAAAAATTTAAGAAGTGGAGCTCCAGCTTTCATTAACTTTTATTATAAGCATCCTATTACCAGAAAATTGACAAACTTCTCTTAAAATCGCACTTTAACGGTATAAAGTGATTTCAGGGTTCTTAGGAGCCCCATCATAGTTCTGCCAATAAGTTCATTTATTTGGAGCTTTAGAAAATCCTTTATGGAAGGCCTTTAAGATGATAAATTTTCTTCTGTTGGTTAAGCATTTGATTGTCTTCTGCAGGTATCCCCAGTAGCAATATTATTGTATTTAATTACTGCATTGGTTTGAAATCATTACTTTGACGCAGCTTTTGTTTTGTGCATATGTTTTGCAAGGTTTGGTGCATTCTTTTTGCTGTGTAAAGAATTATCTATTCTTTACTATCATTTACATTTGTAACCTCTGTGCACCTCAATACATTGTAATGTATGTTGTTTTTTCTCGTTCAGAATCTCCATGCCAATCGAGACTATGGAAAGAAGCAACCTGGTGAATGAGCACACCGGGGACTCCCGGGATTCTCATTGCAGCAACATTCCACGACCCTCGTATACACAGGTGACATTTTTTTCCAAATACGCGTACATCGATTGTGCATTCAACTGCATGTAGTGAAGCAGAAACATAGACAAGCCTTGACAGATACGACAAACTTAACCATAGTTTACATGATGCATTTGTCACCCCGTAGGGCACCTGCTTCTGCAGGTGCTTGGCGAGTAGCATTGTCATGGGCCTGAGCTAATAAGGCATGGTTTTGACTCACTTCCATGCCTGACATGTGTGTGGTTGAGCTGTGTCCAGGGAAAATGCGATCCTTGAGGTTAAGCTGAAGCAAGCAGACTTGATGTTCAAGGCTTTCCAGCAGAGGAGACACACCCCTTCGGCTCATGCTTCACATGTACAGCATCCCCATATAGACCTACCCAGTAGAAAAAAAACAAAACACCGGTTGTCTTTTCTTTGTTAGCACCCAAAACCCCGGAGAGTGCTCGACATTTGTCATCAGGAGTAGAATGCATTACACTTAAACCTGAATATGATGAACCCGGATATAACGAAATACTGGTTATCAAGAAGTAAATGAAAAGTATTTTTGCAATAACTACAGTGCTAGGAATATATCTTTATGACAAATTTTCAGAAATAACAAACTTATTTTCGTGTAAGATGCAACTTTGTTGCAATGAGGTTTGAGTGTAGCATAATCAGCCCATGTGCATCCCCTGCTACCATACCACATGGAAATAAACGTTTCTGCATGTAACATTGGCCATTTCAGACTATCCTAGTATGCCTATACTGCGAGGACTGTTGCAAAGTGTCCACTATGCCATTATACCACCTTTTTGAAAATGTTGAAATACCCACTTTGTGTACGTAAAGGGCCACATGCACCTGCACCCCTTGTAATGGGTGGTAGCTTTGGAACACTGATACTGACGTCAACACTGGAATTTGTCCTGGAAATGAGCTCTTCAACACTTTCTCGTTAAAAAGGGGTGGCATCCAGAAAGTGGTGGTAAGTTCAGTTAGTGGCAGCTGATCTGGCAGACATTATTAGGGTAATGGTAGCAGGAGGTTGGGACAAAAGCTGTCGATTATGCAGGGAACCTTAGCATAATTTTGGACCATTGTAGCTATAGTAAGGTAGCCAGAAATTTTTTTGGGGGAGGAGCTCCACCAAAATAAATAAATAAATATACTTTATGTATGCTTCTATGTGTGCATGTATGCAAAATTGACAACTTCCAGTGGTGGGCTTTGACCTGTACCAACCCACCACACTAGCTGAGCCAATGAGTATTAGTCCCCTTTTTGAGGATCTTTAAGCATACTAGGCTGAGTACGAAGTAATCACAGGACTTGGCTGGAGGCCCACCTCTTTATTTTGACTGCCAATCAGAGTTGCATTTCTGTATCCTATGCTGCATTTAGTACTGATGAAATTTTATGAATATGTTGCTGGTGCAGATTAATCTTTGTTGCTTTTGTGCCATTTAAAGCAACTCGACTTTCATTTCAAGATCTTGATTTTCAGTTTCTGTTCAGTTAAGTGCTCTGTTCCTCAGTGGTAAATAATTACCTCAGCTCATCAGTGGTAAATAATTACCTCAGTCACTTGAATTGTGAGCAAGGGGTTTGTACTGACTACAAAGCATACATTATGCTGTTATTTTTGTGACTGACAAAATGAAGGGCTTCTGTTGAGTTATGCTTTTCTTGTCAGATCATTCCATGTATGCTGCCAATCTGTGTTCATTTTATATCTTTTTTGCTGCAAAATTTTTCTTCAAATTTGGTAATCGCTCATTAAGAATTTCACTGAGTTTGGGTCGCCCTGTCTAGCTGCAATTTTCTATGTGGCTTTCCTTGCATACATGCAGGCTGGCTTTGATGGTGCGTACATTCAGCTTCTCCCGAAAAAGACGGGCTTCAGAGACGTCATCAAGCAGGCGAGGAAGCCACGTTGCAGCAGCCGTCGACTCAAGCATTTGGCTCTCAAGCGGTTGCCTGTGTTACAGTGGCTGCGGACCTACCCGGTCAAGGAATATCTTCTTGCTGACGTTGTGACTGGCTTCACTGTTGCCATGTTTCATGTACCACAGAGTAGGTGGATGATGCTTGCTTACCTTGTGTCGAGATGGCATGCCTTTTAGTAGCATCTTCTAATCAAAGAGGGGAGAATGTTACGCTGAAGGAACTCCTGACACTCTACATTCGGTGTCTCAGAACTTCAACGTGCCAGCGAAACAATGCCAACACTACATGGTTAATACGCAGGAAGGGAGACGTGAAAGAATTATAGACCTACCAGCTTACTTTTGGTGCATCACGCAAAAGGTTTACTAAGGTAATATCAAACAGTACAAGACAAACACTTGACTTTCACTAACCGAGAGGGTGGCTGGCTTCATGGAGTGGATTTTCTTTAAAGGGACACTAGAAAAAACTATTTTTCGTGCATTAGCAGAACACATTTTTACTGTCCCAAAAAGACCACTTATACTGGAAAACAACTCTTGTTAATTGAGAAAACGCGCTTAAACGCCACCTTGAGATTACTGCACTAAACAGTGTGACATTATAAATTTTGACGGCATCTACTGGGTCCTACGTGGTTTCTGATTGGTGAATGTGACGTGCATTGTCATTTGCAGGTGCCACAGATCTAGCATACAAAGTTTCATAATATTTATTCGAGCTGTTCTCGCGAAAATACAAAAATAATTTTTGAAGTTCGCGACGTCACACCCGGAGATTTTGGCAGGAAATTTGAAACTGAAGCTTCAATCTTCATTTTCTTCGCTAATAATGAACTTGTGATAGTGAAACTTATTACAAGCTACACGTTGCTTGGCCTCTTCCGAAACAATAATCTAATTGGCTTCGTTGGGCATTTCAATGCATTTATGCTGTTACAAATTATAAATGCGAGTCAGTCTGTTTATTTACTTGACTGCCACCTATGAGCACTTTTCACGGTATCTAGCGTTTGGGGGGGGGGGAGGGGGGGGGTCATTTTTTGCATGTGAAACCCCAAAATTTAATTTCATTTAACACGAGGGCATCTTATGTGAGCATAAAGAAAATCACAGGAGGAACCGAATGAGGCGCATTAAAGCAGAAAATAAAAAGAAGTAGAGCAGATTAATGTTTAGTGTGTACTACCTAATTTAGTTGCTGTCACTTCTCTTCAATCCATGCCTCCACTCCTTTTATTAATTAAACTTGAACTACTATCGGACTCAATGTGACCTGCAATGTGTACCTGCTTTGACATGCGCGTGATGATAGTACATGTTGTGTTCTAATAACTTCAGAAAAATTATCACGTGGATGTTATCTAGTACTGATTTGCCACTGAGCCACCCCGCCGCGGTGGTCTAGTGGCTAAGGTACTCGGCTGCTGACCCGCAGGTCGCGGGTTCGATTCCCGGCTGCGGCGGCTGCATTTCCGATGGAGGCGGAAATGTTGTAGGCCCGTGTGCTCAGATTTGGGCGCACGTTAAAGAACCCCAGGTGGTCGTAATTTCCGGAGCCCTCCACTACGGCGTCTCTCATAATCATATCGTGGTTTTGGGACGTTAAACCCCACAAATAAATTATTGCCACTGAGCCCTTCTGCTTTGCTACTAAACACTTATTTCTTCAACTCTCTGTCTCATGCTTGCAGGTTTAGGCTATGCCCTACTCGCAGCAGTCCCACCTGTTTGTGCCTTGTACAATGCCATGTTTCCCATGATGATTTACTTCATTCTCGGCACAGCTAGGCAGGCATCAGTTGGTAAGCAAACCGTTTATGTCTTGGCTAATCTGTCTCTGTTTTTGACGTGTAGATTATAGTGAAAATTCAGAACTGCGTCAGGAAAGTAACACTCTCTTATTGCTCGTTCATAGCTAATGTTATTGAACTTTAATTTTACTGACCTTCAAAATGAATTGAAATTGATTCATTTTAACCAACTCTTCCCACTTTTAGCTAAGAACTGTGTCTAAACCTTGAGAACATGCAAACATGATTTTATGCACTCTTTAAGTCTGAAAGTCGCTGTAGGGAGATAAATCGGCACAATATGTGAAGGAACATGCTTGCTAGATGCGTCCCCCGCAGGGGCACCTGCGCAAGTAGGCGTTTGGTGTGTAGCGACACCACGAACTCGAGCTAACGGGGGAGTTTCTACTCCCTCCCACGCCTAGCCGTGCGTGGCTTTGCCGTGCCCAGGGAAAAGGGGATCCTGGGGGTTGAGCTGACGCTGGGTGATTGGACCTTTAAGGCCCCCCGGCAGAGGCAACACACCCCTTTGGCCTCGGCTTCACGTAGACGGCACCCCTAAGCTGACCCACCCAGGGGAAATCGGCAGTCGCCTTTTCCTATCTCTCTCTCCCTACATCTTCGTCTTTCTTACTTTTTTAGCTTTCCTGTCTACTTCTCTCTTCTGTTTACTTCCAATTTTCCTGGCGGCAAGGGTTAACCCTGTGCAAATAGCCTACCTTGGTCTAGGCGCATTGGGTTATGGCAGTGTTGTACGGCTGACGTCTGCAAGCTTTCAGCACCTGCAAACTTGCAGCGTCCCCTTGTTGGGCTCCGTGGTGGGTGGCCGCCAACGCTGCTGAACAAAAATAAGACCGGCATGCATGGAGCATTCCCTCAACTGTCTGATCGTACCGGCCTAAAGCGGGTGCGCACCGACGACATAAATTTTTTCAACCAGCCAATAGAAACTTTTCCCCACTACCACGTCATTCACTGTGAAAAAACCGGAAAGCAAGCCAGGACCGTATCTCCTTTCGTAGTTGCCAGGTGTCTTACTGACACTCTCGGGGCTGGATACAAAGTAACGAAAATGGCTAGCGGAGACCTTCTTCTCGAAATTTGGGACAAAGCACAATTTGTAAAGCTAGACAGCCTCTCAACGTTTGGTGACGTACCGATCACCGTAACACCACACAGATCCATGAACATCACTCGCGGAGTGGTATCTGATGCAGACTTACTTGAACTCACCGAAACTGAACTTTTGGAAGGGTGGAAGAGCCAAAATGTCAATAATGTACAGAGAATTATCATCAGAAGAGATAATAAGGAAATACCAACAAAACACTTGATACTCATGTTTGCATCCAGTAAACTACCAGATTCCATTCAAACAGGGTACACAAAGACATCTATCAGGCCGTATATACCAAACCCTCGTCGTTGCTTCCAATGCCAGAGGTATGGCCATGGCTCTAAAACCTGTCGTGGTCGCCAGACTTGTGCACAATGTGGAGTCCTAGGCCACGTGTCTGAGAACTGCAAACAACCGCCACACTGTGTAAACTGCGAAGGAAACCATGCCGCATATTCACGCTCCTGCACATACTGGAAAAAAGAAAAAAAAATAATTACATTGAAGGTGAAGGAGAACATTACGTTTAAGGAAGCACGGCGAAGAGTCGCTCCATTCTATGGACCTACATACGCTGATGCGGCGCGTCAGGGGGCACCGCCGCACCAGCCCTTGCCACCCCTTCGGCTCGCGCATACCGAGCCGGCAGTTGTGGCACCTGCCCCCAAGGCGGCTGTAGCCCAGGCTACACCGCCTACTCCCAAACGGAGACCGGGGACTCCAGAGTCTTCGGGTCTCAAGGCCTCCCCTCACCAGGCGAGGCCCAAAATCCGAACTAACAGCCCGCATGTGCGGGCATCCAGTGCCTCCGAGGAGGCAATGGATACGTCGGCACCCTTGGTGCCGAAAGAGCGGCGTGGCTCCTTGGAGCGCGCCAAGAAAACAAAAAAGCAAATAACAGGGCCTGGTGACGGCCCTGTTAAGTGAACTCAAACTCCCCGTCTAAACAGCCACTCGCTTTTCATACACACAGCATTAGTTTACATTCACCATGAACACTCAAATTATACAATGGAACGTCAGGGGCCTTCTCAGAAACCTTGACGACATCCAAGAACTCTTACACGAACACTCACCAAAAGTGCTGTGTGTACAAGAAACACACCTTAATTCAAAACACACAAATTTTCTTCGTAAATACGTTATTTTTCGAAAGGACCGTGATGATGCCATGACATCATCCGGAGGTGTTGCCATCATAGTGAATCAAAGAATTGCATGCACACACTTACAACTCCAAACATCCCTTGAGGCAGTGGCTGTTCGAGCGGTTCTTTTTGATAAACTGATCACAATCTGCACTATTTACATTCCTCCTAGCTATCAGCTGCAAAAACGTGATTTACACTGTTTAATTGATGAACTTCCGGAACCTTATGTTCTCCTTGGAGACTTTAATGCGCATAGCAGGCTATGGGGTGACTCTCGGTATGACGCGCGAGGTCGACTGATCGAACAGTTCTTTCTCTCGTCGAGCGCGTGTCTCCTAAATCGAAAAGAACCAACCTATTATAATCTCGCCAATAACACCTACTCTTCCATAGACCTAAGCATAGTATCTCCATCCCTTGTGTCTCTACTCCAGTGGAAAGTCGTCAGTAATCTGTACGGAAGTGACCACTTCCCCGTAGTTTTGAGAACAAATACAGTAACTGAGTGTCCACCACGTGTTCCCAAGTGGCTCATAAACAGAGCCGACTGGGAACAGTTTTGTACCATCGCTCGTCTAGGTTGGAATGACATATGCACTTTGAACATCGATGTTGCTGTCAACTTCTTCACAGCGTTTTTGATAGATGCTGCAACAAAATGCATCCCACAAACAAATGGACACCCTGGAAAACGGCGTGTGCCATGGTGGAACTCTGAATGCCGAAACGCGCGCAAACAGCAAAACGGAGCTTGGAGGCTGCTTCGAAACTCACCGACAGCCGAAAATCTCGACACGTTCAAGAAAATAAAGTCTCAAGCTAGGAGAACGCGTCGGCAGGCCAGAAGAGAAAGCTGGCAGAAGTTTTTGTCAGGGATCAATTCATACACACAAGAGGCCAAAGTCTGGAACATGGTCGGTAGGATAGCAGGGAAACAAGTACACACACTTCCACTCGTAAACACTCAAGGTGATACCTTGGAAGATCAGGCAAACTTCCTCGGGGCACATTTTGAACGAGTATCCAGCTCGTCCCACTATACTGACACTTTCCAAAAATACAGAACAAGAATAGAATATTTATTATTATTATTATTTACAGATACTGCAATCACCTTTGGTGATTTTAGCAGGGTGGTACATGAAGAAAAGCAGAAACTCGAACACAAATCCACTAGATACGAGGCATATAACCAAGCTTTCTGTCTAGCGGAGCTCCAAACATCCCTAAACTCCTGCAGTACTTCTGCCCCAGGTTCTGACCGTGTGGTGTATGAAATGTTAAAAAACCTACCAGCCGAAACACGAAAAACTCTACTTTGCTTGTACAATGCTATCTGGTTTTCTGGCACTATCCCTACCTCCTGGAAAGAGGCTATTATTATTCCCATTTTGAAAGAGGGCAAGGACCCTTCTTTACCCTCGAGTTATAGGCCTATAGCACTTACAAGCTGCTTGTGCAAAGTCTTCGAAAAAATGATAAACTGCCGACTTGTACATTTTCTTGAAACAAATAATTTGCTCGACCCATTTCAGTGCGGGTTTCGAGAAAGTAGATCCACCACAGACCACCTTGTTCGTATCGAGGCACAGATCAGAGACGCCTTCGTCCATAAACAATATTTTCTCTCTGTGTTCCTCGATATCGAAAAGGCTTATGATACAACATGGCGTTTCGGAATTCTAAGAGACCTGTCTCACCTTGGTGTGCGCGGAAGAATGTTTCATATAATCGAAAGTTACCTGTCAAACCGGACATTCCGTGTCCATCTGGGCAGTGTGCTCTCCCAAACATTTGTCCAGGAAACAGGCGTGCCACAAGGTGGTGTGGTTAGTTGCACACTTTTTATTATTAAAATGAATTCTTTGCACTTTTCCATTCCCCGCAATATGTTCTATTGTACATATGTAGACGTTCAGCTTGGCTCCAAGTCATGCAACTTGGCCATGTGTGAGCGGCAGGTTCAGCTGGGTTTAAATAAGGTCTCCAAATGTGCAGATGAAAACGGATTTCGACTTAACACACAAAAAAGCACGTGTGTCTTGTACTCTCGAAAGAGAGGCATGCAATCGGAACCTGACATTCAACTGAACGGGCAACGTCTGTCCGTCAAAGCCGAGCATAAATTTTTAGGCTTAATCTTGGACAAGAAGTTGACCTTCATACCCCACATAAAGTATTTAAAAACAAAATGTTTAAAAGCCATGAATGTTATAAAAGTGTTGTCACGTACTACGTGGGGTAGTGACAGGAAATGCCTCATGAACCTGTATAGAAGCCTTATTCGCGCCCGCTTAGATTATGGGGCCATTGTTTATCAGTCTGCAACTCAAAGTGCTTTGAAGATGCTGGATCCCGTGCACCATTCGGGCATCCGCCTTTCTACGGGTGCTTTTCGCACCAGCCCCGTAGAAAGCTTTTACGTTGAGTCAAATGAGTGGTCGCTTCATCTGCAAAGAACCTACATGTCCTTTGTATATTTCCTTAAGGTGAAAGCAGACAAGAGGCACCCCTCATACTCTACTATTAATGACTTGTCGAGCTCCATTCTTTTTCAAAACAGGCCTTCAATGAGGCAGCCCTTCTCAGTTTGCCTGAAGGGTCTAGCTGAGGAAACTGGAGTCTCACTTGAACACAGTTTAATGGCTCCTGTAGCATACCCGCCACCGTGGCAATGGCAGACTATAGACTGCGATGTGTCTTTTCTAGAAGTTACAAAACATGCGGCTATTGCCCATATCCGAACACACTTCCTGGAACTTCAACACAAATACACACGTCCTGAGTTCTTTACAGATGCCTCCAAGTCTAACTCCTCTGTGTCCTACGCTGCTGTCGGCCCATCCTTTTCGGATGCTGGCCCTCTACATCCAGACACAAGTATCTTCACAGCGGAAGCCTACGCGATACTTGTGGCGGCCAAACACATCAAGCAATTACAAATACAAAAAGCAGTAATTTATACGGACTCCCTCAGTGTGGTAACGGCTCTGCACACTCTTAAAAAACACAAAAACTCAGTCCTTGTCTCACTTTACTCCATTTTGTGCACACTCTACACGCTCAAACAACATGTTGTAGTGTGCTGGGTGCCAGGGCACCGTGAGATTCAAGGCAACGTGAGGGCGGATCAGCTCGCTGCATCCGCCCACAAAAGCACTGCCCCTACACCCATATCAATCCCGGCCCTTGACCTTAAGCCGTCTCTCAAACGAAACCTCAGGGTATACTGGCAGAGCAAGTGGGATACACACACACAAAACAAACTACACATTATTAAGCCACACCTTGGTCATTGGCGGCCAGTATCAAAATCACGTCTAACAGAGGTAACACTAACAAGACTCAGGATAGGACACACATACACGACACACACACATCTTTTGTCCGGTGGTGATCCACCATTGTGTGATAATTGTGGTGAGGCATTAACAGTTCTTCACGTTTTAATTCAATGTAAACAGTTAGATTCTCTAAGAAGACAACACTTTCCATTACCCTACCGACAACATATACCTTTACACCCTGCAATGTTCGTCGGTAGGGAGCCGCTTTTTAGTCATAAAACATTGTTAGCGTTTTTTAAAGAAATTCATAGTTTTCATGTCATATACCCTGGCATTCCTTAGCACAACCTCTCCGGAGAGGTTTTTGCTGCGGTGGCTACACAAGAAAGCACTTGCCTCACGGCCCTTCGACGCAAGGGTATGAACGAGTGAGGCACTTGTACTAATGCCATACATATCCACCATTGTCTTTTATTATCACCAACTTTGTTCATCTATTCGCACCACACACACCTTTCACGGCATGGTCATGATTTTATTACCTGTATGTTTTTACCCGCCTTACCGCGAGGAATTTTATGGCCCTTATACAGCCGCTAATCACAATCATTGTCCACATCTCTTGTCCCATGAACTGGCGCTCTTTGGCCATCAAATGGCCCTTGCGCCAAAAAACACCATATATCATCATTGCTAGATGCGTCAATAAAATGTGTTGAGCATTTAAACTCGGTCATTTTATTTAATATTCATTAAGGTACTGAACTGCATGAACTTAATGCAGTTCTATGCTGATTTGTCATGCTGCATGGACACTGGTGATGTTTCTAGCATGCTTTACGCAGTGTGAAAGCCACACAGCCTCGCAGAAAGTTTGCATGGCAGTAAAGGAAGTGCTTGTTTGAAATATGTGAAGGGGAAGCTTATTATATTTATAGAATACTCTTGTATATAGTATTGTGGCCAGCTGCACGCAATGTCAGCACCACAAACGCCCATCTGCTGCCCCAGCTCGTCTCCTATAGCCAATACCACTGCCATGCACATCTTTCCAACAAGTGGGCATTGACTTCGTGGGCCCTTTCCACAAATAAGCTAAGGACACTTGCTAAATCATTGTATGCGTCGACTATCTCACATGCTATTGTGAGGCAGTGGTCTTACCCTCCACGTCTGCCAGCCACGTCTTGGCATTCCTGCTGCATCACATTGTCCTCCAACATGGTCCACTTCACGTGATCATCAGCGACTGAGGACAACAATTGATGGCAAACATCGTAGAGGAGCTGATATGCTTGTGCGACTCCCACCTGCGTCACTCGGTACCCTACCATTTGCAAGCAAATGAACTCACAAAGTGCACCAACTGAACAACTATAAACATGCTCTATATATATGTTCCATCCGACCACAAGAACTGGGATGATGTAATCTTTTTTATAACATGTGCATTCAACAGTGCTAAACATGAGACTATCGGCTACAGTCCTTTCTTTTTGCTGTATGCACGTCTGCCGCGGCACGCTCTCGTTACTGTTTTGCCTTTCTCTTCCTATGAGAACGTCACTGTGATCGAAAAACCTCTGCCTTGCCGAAGAGGTGTGTTGTATTGCTTGTTTATGGACTTTGGCATAGCAAGACAGATCAAAAACAGCCTACGACATTCGCCACTGTGCTGTACCTTATTGCCCTGGGGATTTAGTGTGGCTATCAACTGTGGTGCGAAAGTGTGGGTTATGTCAGAAGCTCTTGCCCACATACGATGGGCCATTTAGTCTTGTCAACAAACTCACTTAGGTGACATACACAATTGGTTACCTCACGGCCAATGGCCGAAGAACTGCTAGAACCCATGTTGTCCGCATTGCTCACTTGAATTCTTCACGCCATAATGAATCACCTAATTAACCCCGCGCGCTTCAATCTGCGATAAGAGAGATGTTGCACTTATCCGTGAGGAGAACGAAGACCAGTTAACATGTGGCTACCCCGAACTGTAGCTAATCAGAAGAAGACGATGCTGCGAGATTCGACCTGTAGGCTGCTCCTGTGCTCACCCTCGAGTCTTAATAATCGCCCCCTTCAGGTATATACATCTGGGTCTTTATATATAAGACCTTTACATTAACATTAACGATTATTTATAAAACATTTACTTGAAAGCAGCACAAAAATGTGGTGGAAACGAGAAAAATGCGATAGCTGATGGCCATAGCATCATCTGTGTAGTTGAATCAAAATTCTAAACAAGGCCATTGCTTGAAGAACGAAAAAAATTGTACCGAAGTCATCAAGACATTTTTTTTTTCACTCAGTTTGTAAGTTTTTTCTGAATGAAACGGCAGTACATTTTCATTTCAATAGCGTTTGTTTGTTTCATAGCCTGCATAAAATGATGATTTGTAGAAAGTTGTACCCTTCATGGAACCACTTCTGTCTATTCCAAGAATCATCGTCTTCAGGATCCTCAATTGAGAATGCATCACTTTCTGTTGTTATGCAACGCTCTACAGAGTGGCTGTTTGACATGGAGTCTTCAAAATAGTATTTTATTTTTCACTCTTGTATAACAGGAATGCCAACATTTGTTCTGTGCTTGTATCAATATGTCAAGAAAGGCTAGACATAAAATGCCAAAGATGGCAAGTTGTGTCCAACTAGTGCGATAAATTGCAAGTAGTACTAAGAGGATGAGTACAGTCAACGTTGACTGAGTGTCTATATTATGTTTTTGTCCATGGCGAGTTTCATGATCTGTGCACTTGCCATTTGTTGCAATGGTACAACATGTCTGAACACTATACCTCTCAGTGGGACTGGAAGTATCAAGGTTTTGTGCACACATTGCTTCTGTAAAAGGTTAACTGCAGAAGCGATACCTTACCTCTTTTTTCGTTTGCGAAAACTCTGGTGTAGCGGAACGTGAGGAAGGACGAGCAATTCGAAGTGACACTCGTTTTTCCTTGAACTTTAATTGAACCCTGTTGATCCCCTGTTAAAAACAAGTGGTGTGTGCAGGTGCTGATGCTGTTACGTCAATGATGACTGGAACCATTGTTCGTGAGCTCACTTCGGGAGACGTAAGCCACGATGGGCTGAACCCTCACAACTCTACACAGCCGGTGCCGTACACTGTGGCAGAGGTCACATCTACCCTTTGTTTGACTATCGGCATCATACAAGTAAGGCTACCATCCCAGAGTTGCTGTACCGCTAAAGACCCTCCTAGTGAAGCATCCTTCTTGCTTAAACATGTGCGGGATTCTGTCACATTATACTCTACTGCAAATTGTTGCTGTCAGGATCAGTCTAATGCAAGCTTCCACAGTGCCAAGGACAATCCTAGTTAGTCACTCGCCTTACCTCCCAGTTTCCCTTTTACAGCTAACTGCAGTGTGTATCAGGAAATCTTTTTAATCTCATCACATTGAGCGTTATGGGACTTTCCTACCTCGAATGTTATATTCTGCTGCGTATGCTTTTTATCCTGCAGCTGTACACCAATGCATAAATTTTTATTATCCTATCAGTCGTTGCTTGCTGTGATGCTTCTATATGGCATTGGATTGTACGCAGGCAGTGCCAGTGGTTTAGGCAGCAGTCATATTTCCTACTCAGCACATATTAGCCACACTTAGGCCTGTTTATTTTACAGTAATAAAACACATAGTGCAAATGATCATCTTGCACAAATACTCTGCTTTCTCTCCAACCTGTATGTTGTACTCCTAGCAGTATATAAATGAGGATGTGGTAATTATCTGGGCTATTCAAGCAAATTACATGCCTCTTGTTAACATTTTGTTTGTATAACAAGAGGCGTAGCATTTATGTAGATAGTAATTGCATGAGAAGATTTGAAGAATGGTTATGTTACAAAGTGTGTGACTGTTGTTACTGAACTTGCATGCCTGATTGCTAATATCATTGATATTAGGTTACTTATGCCATTAGGTGATGCGCCAAAGGTATCAATTTTTTTAATGTCTTAATAGACTTTGATATATGTTTAAACTTTCGAATGTTTTACCTATTTTGTTCACATAGCTTCAGACGTCAATTGGTGCATTGTTGTCATCATAATCATCAGCCTGACTACGTCCACTGCAGGACAAAGGCCTCTCCCATGTTCCACCAGTTAACCCAGTCCTGTGCTTGCTGCTGCCAATTTATACCCGTAAACTTCTTAATCTCATCTGCTCACTTAACCTTTTGTCTCCCCCTAACCCGCTTGCCTTCTCTGGGAATCCAGTTAGTTACCCTTAACGACCAGCGGTTATCCGGTCTACGCGCTACATGCCTGGCCCATGTCCATTTCTTCTTCTTGATTTCAGCTATGATATCCTTAACCCCCGTTTGTTCCATAATCCACTCTGCTCTCTTCTTGTATCTTAAGGTTACACCTACCATTTTTCTTTCCATTGCTCGCTGTGTCGTCCTCAATTTAAGCTGAACCCTCTTTGTAAGTCTCCAAGTTTTTGCTCCGTAGCTAAGTACCGGCAAGATACAGCTGTTATATACCTTCCTCATGAGGGATAATGGCAATCTACCTGTCATAATTTGAGAGTGCTTGCCAAATGTGCTCCACCCCATTCTTATTCTTCTAGTTACTTCAATCTCGTGGTTCGGCTCCGCGGTTATTACCTGCCCTAAGTAGACATAGTCTTTTACAACTTGAAGTGCACTATTACCTATCTCGAAGCGCTGCTCTTTTCCGAGGTTGTTGTACATTACTTTCGTTTTCTGCAGATTCATTTTAAGACCCACCTTTCTGCTCTCCTTATCTAACTCTGTAATCATGAGTTGCAATTCGTCTCCTGAGTTACTCAGCAATGCAATGTCATCGGCGAAGCGCAGGTTACTGAGGTATTCTCCATTAACTCTTATCCCTAACTGTTCCCATTCTAGGCTTCTGAAAACCTCCTGTAAGCACGCGGTAAATAGCATTGGGGAGATTGTGTCCCCCTGCCTTACACCCTTCTTGATTGGTATTCTGTTGCTTTCTTTATGAAGCACTATGGTAGCAGTTGATCCCCTGTAGATTTCTTCCAGGATGTTTATATATACTTCATCGAAGCCCTGATTCCACAGTGTCTGCTGATGGCTGATATTTCTACTGAATCAAACGCCTTCTCATAATCTATGAAGGCTATGTATAGTGGTTGGTTATATTATGAGCATTTCTCTATCACCTGATTGATAGTATGAATGTGGTCAATTGTTGAGTAGACTGTTCGAAATCCTGCTTGTTCCTTTGGTTGATTTAATTCAAATGTTTTTTTTACTCTGTTAGCAATTAACTTTGTAAATAGCTTGTGTACTACAGAGAGCAAGCTAATCGGCCTGTAATTCTTCAAGTCCTTGTCATCTCCTTTCTTGTATATTAAGATGATGTTAGCGTTCTTCCAAGACTCTGGTACTCTTCCCGTCATGAGACACCTCGTAAACAGGGTGGCTAGTGTTTTTAACACAATCTGTCCTCCATCTTTCAGCAGATCTGATGTTACCTGATCCTCACCAGTAGCTTTGCCTCTTTGCATGCTCTCCAAAGCCTTTCTGACTTCTTCTATCATTACTGGTGGGGTGTCATTTGGGTTACTGCTAGTTCTTATAGTATTAAAGTCGTGGTTGTCCCGGCTGCTGTACAAATCTCTGTGAAACTCCTCCGCTATATTAACTATTATATCCATATTGAAAGTTGTTTTGCCTTCTTTGTCCCTTAGTGCATACATCCGATTTTTGCCTATCCCAAGTTTCCTCTTCACTGCTTTGACGCTTTCTCCGTTTTTCCAGGTGTGTTCAATTCTCTTCATGTTATACCTTCTTACATCGGATACCTTACGCCTATTAATCAACTTCAAAAGCTCTGCCAGTTCTATTTTGTCTTTTGTACTTGAGACTTTAATGATTTGACGCTCCTTAATGAAATTCTTCGTTTCCTGGGTAAGCTTGCCAGTGTCCTGTCTAACTACCCTGCCTCCAACTTCCACTGCACACTCCGTAATGATACTCGTCAGATTATCATTCATTGTATCTATGCTAAGGTTGGTTTTCTCACTAAGAGCCGAGGACCTGTTCTGAAGCGAGACTCTGAATTCCTGTACTTTCCCCCTCAGTGCTAGCTCATTTATTGGCTTCTTGCGTATCAGTTTCTGTCGTTCCTTTCTCAAGTCTAGGCGAATTCGAGACCGTACCATTCTATGGTCACTGCATCGTACCTTGCCAACCACTTCCACAACCTGCACGATGCCTGGGTGTGCACTCATTATAAAGTCTCTTTAGTTCTTATTTTTGCCATTAGGGCTCCTCCATGTCTACTTGCAGTTTCCTCGTTTTCGGTAGAAGGTATTCAAAATCCGTGAATTATTGCGTTCTGCGAATTCCACTAGTAGCTCTCCTCTGGCGTTTCTAGTACCGATGCCATAATCTCCTACGGCCTGGTCTCCAGCCTGCTTCTTCCTTACCTTTGCAGTAAAGTCTCCCATCAGTATTGTATACTGTGTTTTTACCTTACTCATTGCCGATTCCACGTCTTCGTAGAAGCTTTCATCTGAAGCGTCATCATGGCTGGATGTAGGCGCGTAAGCCTGTGCCACCTTCATCTTGTATCTCTTATTCAGAATAATTACGATACCTACCACCCTTTCATTAATGCTATAGTATTCCTCTATGTTGCCAGCTATGTTTCTCTGAATTAGGAACCCCACTCCCAGGTCTCTTCTGTCAGTCAAGCCCCGATAGCAAAGGACGTGCCCATTCTGTAGCACCGTATTGGCCTCATCTGTCCTCCTAACCTCACTGAGCCCTATTATATCCTATTTAACACCCCCTAGCTCCTCGAATAGTACAGCTAGACTTCTCTCACTAGATAAGGTTCTAGCGTTAAACGTTGCCAAGTTCAGGTTCTAATGGCGGCCTGTCTGGATCCAGAGATTCTTGGCACCCTCTGCTGCGTTGCAGATCTGACCGCCGTCGTGGTCAGTTGCTTCGCAGCTGCTGGGGACTGAGGGCCGTGAGTTATTTGACGTATGCATGTGGGAGGTAGTGGCCAGATACTGCACCAGGGTGGCCAATCCTTCTCTGGTGTGGGTGTGCGTTCCCAGCGGTGGTTACCGGTGAGGCCGCACCTCAGGCCTCGTAATGCAGTTCCATCACCACGCGGATTTTTTTTTTTATCCGGTTGGGAACTGCGCGGCACCGGGATTTGAGCCACGGACCTTTTGCATGCGAGGCGGATGCTCTAACCACTACGCCATCGCTGCTCTTTACTGTTCTTTATATTAATTCAGCAACATTTCATTTCTCTTAAGGTTTATAAGACAAAATATTATTTACTCTAAAACAGGAATCTACTTGTCCCCAGCCATAATTTGATTTTGTTCCATGGCACGTAGGTCCCTGTTCAGTTGTCATTGGCGATGTTGTCCTAGTCAGGCTGCCATCGTCGTCGTAATTATCACCACGAGCAATTTGGCGGGGATGATGTTATCATTTTGCATCAATGTCTTGGGGGTCATGATTTTCTCATGACATCCAGGGCTTTCCTCTCCAAAAACACTCTTGGATGCTTCTTCACTGATGTACCAATCAAACGTGATCATTATGGTTGTTCATTTATCCATTTATAGCGTTTTCACAAAAATGTTTCATTCTTGCTAGCCACACAAAACCAAATGTAGGCATGACAGCGGAGCAATAGTAGACGTACTGATGAAAATTTTTGAGTGATTGTTGTATCAAAACAGGAGGCTTTCTGAAACGTGTCCTTACACGTCTTTGCATTATTTTCATTGAACTTTGTGGCATGAGCTGCTACTGTAACTGAGTATTTATCATTTCTTCTTTCTTTGTTCTCCCATGCATTTCATGTGAGCAGCTGGTGTTCAGCTTCCTGAGCCTTGGTGCGCTCAACGTGTTCTTGTCGGAGCAGATGATCAACGGCTTTGCAACTGGCGTGGCCATTCAAGTGGTGGTCAGTCAGCTGGGATCTCTATTTGGAAACAGGGTGCCTCACATGAGCGGAATGTTCACCATTTACAAGGTGAGCAGGTAGTGATTCGTGAAACTGCTACAGCGTGCTTAGCTCCACTTATGGCCGTACGATGGACTGGCACTTTTGCATGAACGTATCTTTTGAACTGTTCTGCCCTGTGCCAATCACACCTGCTTTATAACTTCAACATTCATAATCACACCCGCTTTATGACTTCAACATTCATGGGAGATGTTGTGGTTTCCCAATCTCTATGTAAAGCTGCTGAGCGAGTTGTAGGTTCCATTGCCAGCGATAAGAGCTTTGTTCTAATGCAGATGGACAGCAAGCAGCTTGTGCACTGCACACATGATGCATATTAAACCGACAGCCGTTTGGAATCGCGAACTTGAAACCCTTCACTGGGCTGCTTCTTGTAGACTCTGTGTTGTCTTGGTATGTAAAAATTGGTCAGTCATTCGGTGGCAAAAAGTTCGGCTTTAAAATGTAAACTAAAATGTGACAGTGTCTAAATTCAATAACATTTGTCGAGATAATTTGACAATAATATAGCTGCTCTCATACTAACTTGGCTTTAAGGGGAGATGCTACTCGAAGACACTTTTTCTTTAATATTCACCTTGGAGCAATAAATCTTGAGCTGCTTATGGAACTTTTTATGCTGATTTCAAATATATAATTAGTTTTCTTACAAGTTACACACTTTTAGCTCTGTAACATGACAAAATGAAACCTTAACCCTTTTGCCCCCCTCTTTTCATCCCTAAAATTCTTCAATTTTTTACCATTCATAGTTCATAATGCTTCAAATAAAGTGTAGAGTGTAAATGACTAATTAAAAAGCACATACAAAATATCGTATTTACTCGCATAATAGGCGCACTTTTTTTTCAGAAAATCCGGCTCGAAGTTAGGGGTGCGCCAATTACGCGGGGTAAAATTTTCGAAAATTTTTTCAACTCGGTTTTCGCGCTTTAAATCTGCACACTTGTCAAGTAAAAGGCGACTTTATCGTTTACCAATTAATTCAGCATAAAACAAACATACCTACATACCTTTTAATGAACAAGCGAGAGCCGTCAACTGCGCACACATACGTAAAATTTATTTACACAAAAGTCGTAGCTGTTCCTCCTTTTCCCTATTCGGAGTCCGAGTCGGAGATCACACATTCATCCTCGCCGAGCGGGGATTCGTTTTCGGTGTCCGAATCATCCGCACCCCACAACATGTCATCCTCACTCGCATCCAGTGCGTTCGAGATACCCGTCTTCTTGAAGCTTTTCCTGATGACTTCGTCGGAGATCGCCTGCCACGCTTCCACGATCCAAGCGCACAGCATTTCCACAGGTGGCCTCTTAATCTTACCACCTGGAGTCAGCTGATGTTGTCCTCCAGCCATCCAGGTGGTGTACAGCCTTCGAACATTGTCCTTGAAAGGTTTATTCAAGGACACGTCCAAAGGCTGCAGTATCGATGTGAGGCCGCCCGGAATCACTGCCAGATCTGTGCGCAGCTCCTTTAGCTCATCTCGTACGCGGTCTACTAGGTGCGCCCACGAAAACTGTCCAGGACAAGCATGGCACAAGGTGGTCCGCCTTTGCAGTGCGAGGCCATGGCGCCGCATGAAACGAGTTGTCCATCCGGAGCTGGCTTTGAACTCTTTTGCTTCGATGCCCTGCGCTCGGGCTATTCTGCGCGCCTGTCTGCACAATATCCAACGACACAGCACAGCCGTTTTGTCGTAGCTCCCGTATATGCCGGACCAGTTGCTCTTCGACGTTCGGATACTTGCCGGTCTTGGCACCGCGGAAAGCCCGCTGTGTCTTCTTCGTCGCCTTAAGTCTTGGTCCCTCCAGTACCGAATACTGGTTTCTCCAACGCCGAAATGCCTGCTTGCAGCCCGGTTGCCGTGCTCCAGCGCGTACTGCACTGCCTTCAATTTAAACCCAGCCGTGTAGCTCGCGTACTTCCCCATGGTGGAACCAAAGTTATATACATGACCACAACATACGCACACCGCTTGCAAAATGGCGTTTCTTTCTTTTTCTCTGATGGTGGTGATGGCGATCAAGCCCCCGGTGTTGTACACGTGACCTCCAAAAAGCGCGGCGATTTGGGGGGTACCAGTAATTGATGGAACAGCCGTTTTTTTTTTCGCTCATGGACGCGTTTTTTTTTTCAAGTTTTATTTCGACAAACACGTTGGTTAGGTCGTTGCACTTCGAATTTTTTTTATTTGCTCGTCGATTTGCCTTCTTTTTTTCTTCAGGGTACGGGGACCGCGTTCCAACTGTACCGCTGGGGGGTAGAATCGTTTCTGATCACGGCCAAGTTCGGGGTGCGCCTATTATGCGCGGAATTAAAAAAAATCGAATTTTCCGCGACCAAACTAGGGGTGCGCCTATTATGCGAGTGAGCCGATTATGCGAGTAAATACGGTATGTAATACGTGTGAAAAATAATAGACGTAAAAAGCCCATATTTCACCTACCCTAGTAAAGGTGTACATACGATTTTTTTATTATACAATAAAATATTGAAATTTAAACTAGGTAATTGCGTTTGTCATACTTTGGAAAAGAACTGGGCAAAATTTCATGCGGATCCGAGCACTAGAAGTGCCCGAAGAAGGAGGGGCACATTGGAAAAAATTGCAAAATTTGTGTTTCGAGAAAAACGAGTTTTAAATTTAAAATTGAGTTTTCATTTATGAAAGATACTAATGAATCAGATGAAATTTGCACACCAAAAAGAACAATCTTTCTTGTAGTGGCCACTGCGACTAAAATACGCCAGCACCATGAGTTTGTCCCTATCGGCGTTTTCGAGCCGACTTCTCAAAGACATTTCCAGTGTCATGCCATTTTACAGCCATGTTTGTGCCATATACCATCGTACATAATGGCAATGTCGTCCCTGCTAAGCTCTCACTGCGAGCTTTTTCGACCTCTCAAGATTGGCGCTGACGTCATCCATTGCCGCATCACGAACTTTCCGGCTGAGGGGTGTGAATGACTTTGATGCATTGGCTTTTTCAAGCCAACAACTGCCGCAAATCGGACCAGCTGCTCGTAGCCTATTCCTACAAAGCGCGCCGCACAACGGCTTTCACTTGCGAGCAATGCCTTTTTTTTTTATTCATAACAGAGATAATTACATAAGAAAAGCATTGTTAAGGGGGGACGCGGGGATCAAATCGCGAAATTCTCGCAAAAAAAAGAATTTTGGATAAGGGCAGATTTGGATTCTGCATCACCATTTCTATCATATCTAAAAATATTTCCGCCGAAAACGATCTCAAAGTAAGCTTAAAAAATGTTTTTCTGACCGCGGATCGCAAAAAGCTGGCTGAAATCTGCGCGAAAATGGCCCATTTCCGAGCGCGATACTTCCGCGCCTTCGCCGCCGCTCGCGGAAAGCTTGGTGTCACTGGAAAGCTTGCTTCACCGCCGTACTTCTCCCGGTGAAACCACGACTCTACGAGCTAAGATAAACGCACAAACAGAAAAAATGCGAAGGCATCCGCGACGCCTTAGACGCGCACCCATTGGTCGCTCCTGTCACGTGGTACTGAGCGCGCTCTGTGAGTGGCTGCTGGGACGCGCTTGCTTGCGCTGGTCGTCTGCTCCGCGCACGCACGTCTGTTACGCACACGCTGGCGCACTATAGTTTGCGAATCCCCTGCCGATACGCCGATACGGTCGCCGATACGCCAACTCTTCTCTAGCGCGAGGCTTAGCGCCCGCAATGGATCGTCGCGTGGACCGGAAGTGCAGGACGAAGTACCGGACGAAGTACGCTTACGGGAAGCGTAAACGCAAGCCTCCTGTTGGGAAAACGAAGCAGTCAGCAGCGATTGAATCAGACGAACCAAGTACCGCGTCGCCACCAAGCTACGTGTCGTCGGAAGCCGACACCTGCTCGCTGCCGATGCTCGGCAGTGAGGCCTATGACGCGGGGCTGTCAACTAGCCGCGACGTTGCGGTGCGGCCCGAACGCGAAAGAAGTTTCGTTTTCGCTGCGGCGGGTGACGATGCGGTGCCGGCTGTTCAAAGTGACGGTGAATCGACGCCTGGCAGTGACACTGAAGACCCGGGGCCATCAACTAGCCGCGGCATCACGGTGCGGTGTGAACGCGAGAAAAGTTTCGTTTTCGCGGCGGCGGACGACGACGTGGTGCCAGCTGTCCAGGATGTCGGCGATCGTTTGCCTCAGCGGAAGCGCACCGTTCAAATACACCTGGAACCTCGTTTCGTGTCCTCGGAAGGCGCCGAGAAGCAAGCCAGCAGTGTCCGCGATGCACTTCGCGAGGTGTCGGCAACGGAGCGGAAGTTCGGGTTCGCGCAGCAAACGGAGCAAACATCGGCAACAAAAGAGGATGAGTTCACCCTAATTCAGGTTTCTGCCATGAATTCCCTAATAGGACCTGCACTCTGCCCAAAATGTTGTAAGAAGACTTTGTCAGTGCAGCATGGGACAAAATTGGGCCTGGCAGTAAAACTGGTACTTTTGTGTGCTTCCTGTGGCCCTATTCATTCACCTTGGTCATCCAGTAGAAAATCCGAAGGAAGGGCTTTTGAAGTCAACCTAAGAGCCATGCAAGCAATCAAGTCCATTGGAAAAGGGCCCACTGCCCTGAATGACTTCTGGGCTACAATGAATGTCTCTCATCGGGGCATTCATCAAAAAACCTATCAGGAACACCTAAAAAAAACATTCACACCAGGAGCAGAGGAAGCTGCACAAAACATCTTTGCAGATGCTGTGCTTGCGGTAAAAGACGTGTACAGTAAGATGCAGCCATCAAGCCCAAACAACATCACAGTTGTGTATGACGGCACGTGGCTTACAAGAGGCCACAGCTCACACATTGGGGTAGGATGTATTATTGAGTTTTACACGGGGCTTGTGCTGGATTGCACAGTCCTTTCCAACTTCTGTCTTGGGTGTTGTCAACAACCAGCAGAGAGCGACCCCAACTTCGTCACTTGGGCTGAGAAACATCAATGTCAGAAGAATACTGATGTTGGCTCCGGACAGATGGAAGTGGAGGCTGCTCTGACACTTTTCAGGCGCTCTGTCAGCAGGTATGGCCTCCGCTACACCAACATTATATGTGATGGTGACAGCCGAACCTATCTTGCTCTGTGCAAAGATGAGGTGTACGGCTTCATACCACTGACCAAAGAAGACTGCGTGAACCATGTGCAGAAGAGAATGGGCACCGCTCTCCGCACACTGGTGACAAGAGCTAAGAAAGGGGAGCCATTGGGTGGGAGAGGTGGACTGACGCAGGAGTTGATTAAAAAACTGACCAGCTACTACGGGTTAGCCTTGCGAAAACACACAAGTGTCCCTGACGTGCAAAGGGCCGTGATGGCCACTTTTTATCACGTCACGTCCACCGACGACGAGCCTCACCATGAGCTCTGCCCACCTGGCCCTGATAGCTGGTGCAAACATCGTTCAGCACAGGCCAAAATGGAGCCAGCACCACCTCACAGGTATAACCTGTCGAAACGTGTAGCGGAGGCTCTGCTGCCTGTATACCAACGTCTCTCTGACCCGCAACTGTTGGAGCGATGCAAAGGCAACAAAACTCAGAATGCGGCGGAAAGCTTGCATTCAGTTATTTGGTCACTGACTTCAAAGGACCAACACGCTTCATTGTTCGCAGTGGAGACAACAGTACATGAAGCAGTTGCACGCTACAATTTTGGGAATTTGCGAGCCTACACTGAAATGTGCAAGTCCGTGGGCATCAATCCTGCTAGCCTCGCCCTTCAAAGAGCTGAAGAAAAAGAGCAGCAAAGAAAACGAAAAGCACGCAGTGCAGAAAAAATGAAAGAGAAAGGATGTAAGAAGACCCTCGCAAGCAAAGACACAAAGTATTACAGTCCCGGGGCATTTTGATGGACCTTTACTGACTGTTCAACTTTAACGCCAGTTTTCTCAGAAACGTGTTTTGACCCGACTGTCCAGCTTGCCACGATGCTTGCATGACTATGGCTTGACGGATTTTCATGTGGTTTTTTGCATTGTGTTCCTCAGTGAATTTTCTATGTCGTGACGTTTTCATATTTGTTAATTACTACCTCAGTATTTTTACTCCTAAGCTAATTTCACATTATGATAACGACCACATTTACAAGCATGTATACAATGTTCTCTGTAAAATAAAAACAGAGTCATAAAAATATTTGCAGAATGTCACGACATCAACCATCCCAATGGCTAAAATATAAGAGCAACTATAGGCTTCTACCATGTTTTTTTGTCACACCAGGCTTTGGGCAAGTTTGGTAGTACACTGATGGATAAAAAAATTTATAATGTCAGAACTACTGGGGATAGCTGAATGAAACTTTGTCATTTATCATTTAGCGCAGTTTCCAGTAAGCATGCCAAATTTCATTGCTCTACGACAAAAACTAAAGAATTTTACTTTCGATCCCCACCTCCCCCCTTAAGCTGCGCTGCTTGACAAGACATGGACCCCCAAATAAGTTTCACAGCACATACAGGCCCGCAGCGGTCCCCGATTCGTACCATGTGATAAGCCAGTCGAGGCGCTCGAAAAACGTGCAGAAGAGTGATTCTTTTTATTATCTTTGTGCTGCATCAGCGAGAGAAACTGTTGTTATTTGAAGAGTGAGGCTCGACTCTTCGACTCATGCGATCAACAATGGCTAGCGGCGGCGCATTGTCGGCGGCAAGGTGCTTGAAGACTGCACACTTTCCACTCTTTAACAGGCACCTTGTGCTCTTTAGATGAAATTTTAAACCATTTCCAGTTAAGTCTCGACCTGCATTATTTTTTTCATAACAGTATTGGTACTAATCTTATCAGAACAGGCAAAAATAAAAAAATCGGTAATTTTGAAAAAAACGCGTTTTTCGACCCGCATCTCCTCTTAAGTGCCTCTACTGCGGGAGATTTGTGTCATTCAATAAATAATTGTTAATTCCAGAAAAAATGTTCTGAATATGACGATTGAAATCTCTTTTTTTTCATGTGGCAAGTGACGCAGAGAGCTTTGCAACCTGAATAAACAGGTTTAACTTTTGTCCCTAAGGGTGGGAATGGCCAAAACAACTGCCCCTGGTCAAGTTTTCTGTGGTGCATGAGAGCATGGCTGTGCGTGCACAAATGTGTATAAGCAGGTGACATTTGGCTGCTTTGATATTCAATAGAGTAGATACAGTAATACCTCGTTAACTCGAACTCGCATATCTCGAAAAGTCGAGTGAGTCAAAATTTTCCGCGGCACCGAACATTTTTCTATATGTTCCATGTATTTTTTTTCCTTTATCTCGAATTACTTTTGGGTCGGGTCATGGATAACTTTAAATCTCGACTAAGAGTGGAACGAAAGTTCCGCCACCGAACTATTTCACAAGATTTGCGCGATGCTGCCACGCCTAAAGTCTGTTCATATTTTTCTTATTTAGCTGCGCCTGCCACTACCTCAATGCTTTCCGAGAACGCGAAGTGCACGAAGTCTCAGCCCAGCAACATATCAGCATTGTCAAGTAACCCTGTGGCACGTCATGTGACACATGCGTGAGCAGGGAGACCCTCTGCCCATGCTTGCGTAGTTTGTCTCGTTGGCTTTGTGTAGCGCTCATGATTTTCCCTGAGGTGTGATTTCCTTTCATCTGTGCAAAATACGCGGTACGGATTTTTCACTGAATATGAGGAGCGGCAACTTAGCATGAGTGCGGCAAGCATGGCGTCAGAACAGCGTAAGTTGCCAAGACTAAAAAAAAAATGGTTGCCCTAATTAAGGAAGTGAAGAAAGGAGGCCAAACGAAATCAACCATCGCGCAGAAATTCAGCATCCCTTTGTCTACGCTTTCGACAAGGTTTCGCATGCTGGGTTTTAACGTGATGTCAGTTTGCCAGAAGTAGACACGGCAGAGACCGATGACTTCACATACTGTGAGGAACTTTGTCAAGAGGTCATAAAACTTATAGGTAACGGTGCCACCGAAAATGACGTGATTTTCTGGAGTACGCACTGTGTGAGCAGGATGTGGTGGTGACGGGAGAAATGATGAGCGCCGAAATTGTTCAAATGGCCTCCAACATAAGGGATGGTGGAGACGACAGTGATGACGAACCACCTCGAGAGATGCCGACATCTTCTGAAACGAAAAATTTGCTGCGCTTGCTTTCAAATAAGGTCGAGTGCAGCGGTGGGGAAGATTGACTGACGCGATGTGTTAAGCAGCGGAAGGACGCCTTCCTAGGCCCGCGTACCACCGCAAAGCAGACGAGCATTAGGCACTTTTTCTCTGCTAACTAAATGGCAGTGCGGCAAAACCCAGCTGGTTAAAGCCTCTTGTATGTTATTCTTTTCTCTTGTAAACTTGCTCGAGAAGAAAGATTATAAATTGTCACTGAAGAGCCGACAAATAGTGGTGATTTTTCTGAAAAGTGCTCATATTATATCTGATATCGCATCACTGTAGCATTGTAATAAATGGTCTATTTTATCTCGGGAAGCGTACACAAGTGGATGGTGCTATCGTTCTGTCCGATATGTTGTTATAAACGGTATCATTATATGTCGCCCATCGTTTCTTAGTTTACACTTTACGCTTATAATCATTGCATATAACAAACTTGTGTTTAGCAGGGCCATGTGCACCTGCCGTATATGTGCTAGCACATTTGGAAATAATGTCTTACTCTTTTTATTTTGCAGACAATCTATGCTTTTTTTGACCGCATTGATGACGTCGCGTGGCAGACTACACTGGTGGCCTTTGTTGCCGTAGCAATAATCATGGCTGTCAAGATTTTCCTCGATCCCTCTGTCCTCAAGAGGTTGGGTATTCCACTTCCCATTGAGCTGGTTGTTGTAAGTTCACCAGTTTGTGGCTTAGATGTAGCTACAGTAATGCTTGCATGGTTTATCTGTCTGTACATGCTATTACTTGTGAGCGTATGCTAAACAAATTGTCTCTTGTAAGTACAGTAGAAAATCAGTAAATTGTATTCGCTTAACTTTGTTTCTCGGATAGCTTTTATTACTTGTGTGGTCCCGAATTCTCGCACATAAATTCGACCGTATAGTTGACGCGATCAGTTTATCGCTTCCTGGTTAATTTGCATATTGGGCTGCGTCTCCCAAGCTATGGACCAGTAGGAGTTTCTTGCCTCAGAGGTTTTGATTAAATCATAATCAATGCAAGTTATATTATAATGCATAATAAGTGCATAATCATTGCAAATCTGATCATGAGCATAATGCTCATGATCAGGAGTTTCTTGCTTCTGAGGTTTTGATTAAATCGTAATAAGTGCAAGTTATAACACATAATCAGTGCATAATCAATGCAAATCTGATGATGAGCATTATGCTTAATAGCAGTCACAATTACACCTATCTGTGCCCTCCAGGATGTATGTTTGAAAAGTTGATTGTATTATCCCGGCTGCGGCGGCTGCATTTCCGATGGAGGCGGAAATGTTGTAGGCCCGTGTGCTCAGATTTGGGTGCACGTTAAAGAACCCCAGGTGGTCGAAATTTCCGGAGTCCTCCACTACGGCGTCTCTCATAATCATATGGTGATTTTGGGACGTTAAACCCCACATATCAATCAATCAAGTTGATTGTATTAAGTAGTTGAGGCTGATTGGAAATTGTACAGTTTATAATATTATCATCTGCTCATGACGACATGCATTTGAATTTATATTAAAATGCACAAAATGTCCTACTATTTCTTTATGTCTGTATTTCTGCAGTCAGAGGTAAATGCAACATCCATCTGCATGCTTTTCTTTTCACCCTTAGGTGGTGCTGTTCACACTAACATCACACTACCTCGACATGAAAGAAAACCATGGCATTGCAGTTGTTGGAACGGTCCCACAAGTGTAAGCTGCTGGTACCTAGTATGTGCTCATTAGGGCCACTTTGACCCTTAAACTGATGTTATTGTTTTCTGTCATCTGATCATTTGTATTGAGGGAGCAATGCAGAGTATGATGCAAATGGAGGATGTTACTGCTACAGTGTGCTTTCAGTTAATCCGAATTGCTGCCTAAATGGAGCAAACACCTCTAACATGATTGGTTTCATCCTTAGATCATGCACCCTTGTTCATCTCTTAAGTAAATGGAACTCCTGTTGAACGGAGCATTTTTTTCTGGTCCATACAACTTTTGTTTAGTGAGTGTATTCTGTGTTGCTTATGGCACAAACTTGTCAATGCTGTGCCACATCTCTCTCTCTCTTTTTTTGTGACTCTAAATTTATGCAGGGACATGGAAAGCATTGAGCTTTTCCAGGCCACGCTGTTTAAAATGGGCACATAAATGATGACTGTATGCTGCTGTTAATATCACGTATTACCTACTATTAATGCTCAAAAGTACAGCTAGAAAGAGCGGTGCTAAACAACATGATTTACAAAGTTTCATGCATTAGTTCATTTTATTTAAAAGGTGAGTAAGTAAAAGCCTGTGACGATTAACTGTCTAATTTTATGATGAGCTCTCAAGCTGTCCCATGGCCGTTGGAAATACACAAGTCAGGAAAATCGAAAGGTGCAAAGCAAATTATTACAGTCGAATCTCATTAATTTGAACACGCTTAATTCGAACTTCTGGTTAATTCGAACTCGCGCTGAGGTCCCATCAAAGCTATGTGTATTCCAGTGGGCGAAAACGCCCGGTAATTCGAACGCGTAAAACATGCGATGGTTAATTCGAACATACTGAGCTCCGATAATGCTCTCAGCACCCCGCCAAATACCGCGGCGACACCTGCTACACCTCAACGCTGCGCGCGAAGGAAATGAACGAAAGAAAACGCTGCGGTGGAATGTTTGCACTCTCTCAATCGCCGATCTGCAACGCGCCTGTGCCACGCTTTTCCCTTTTCCATCCCTGCCACGTAAAGACCCTTCTCCTTCTGAAGCCGCGCGCGAAAAGAGAGAGGAAAAAAAAAAAAAAGAAAAGCTGTCGCTGGGTTGAATGAATGTGTGGTTGAAGGAAAGGAAAAAGGCACTATCAAAGGTGCTATCTTCTGCCGTCCTTGCCCTTTGCGGGAGCATGGCTCTGCGCCTTGAGGGGGGGGGGGGGGGGGGGGTCGCTCACGCGCCTGTGCGACGCTTTCTTCTTTCCCATCCCTGCCATGTAACTCTTCTCCTTTCAACGACGCGCGCGAAGGAGCAAAAAAAAGCTGCCGTGGAGTGTTGGCTTTTTCTCAAATGCCGATCTACTTCTCTCCACGTGGAGACGCTCCTTTTTTCTCGTCATGTGCTGGCCATGCTGCGGCTGCGTAGCGGAGAGGCTCTGCTACCGCTACGCAGTTCTTGTTGTCGTCGTCTTTAGAAAGTGTCGGCACTGGACATTTCCGCGCGCAACTTCTTTTGCCAGGAGAAAGCTGAAGGCAAAGTGGAAATGCTTTGCAAGCTCGCTGCAAGGCAAACATGTGCAGACGCACATCACCGATTACTTCAAGTAATAAGGGATGTCCTGTGATTTGTGAATAAATGTAAGTTTTCTGAAACTTCCCCCTCGTGTGTTAGCTAAATGCACATGCGCCACTGCATGGAGAGCCCTTCGTTTATTTAACTTTAAATAATTCGAACTTCTTTTAATTTGAACAAGTTTTCAGGCTCCTTTGAGTTCGAATTATCGAGATTCGGCTGTATAAAAGAGACGTTCCGAAACAAACGAAGATGGGATGTAGGAAGCAGTGATGTTCTAGACAATATGAACCTGGCTTTTAACATATGGGAAATTGAAAAGCATAATCGCACAACCATGCTTCATTTTCCTCAAGCTTACTCAAAGAGAAACAAAAATTTGCAATGTGTTTGATAAATACCTATATTGATCACAGCTGTAAGACCAGGTATTTAACGTGATAGTGTTAGAGAGCTCATGTCGCAGAAATCCCGCCGCCGGCGTCGGCCCCATTAGTTGTGAGCAAAAAATTGTATGTGCGTCTGTGACTGAAAAAGCAAGTTACAGAGATCGCCGTGGGAGGCCGCTACTTGTCCACGCGTGGGCAAGCGATCACACTGAAAAAGTCTTGCATTCGAAGAAAAAAAAAGTGCTCAAGGTCACGAAGCACAGTTGTTTCTTTGCCACACTCCTTGCTTAGCTTCCAGCGCTTTTGTCGGGACAAGAGAAGAGATGATGCCATCGCAGCATGCGACAAACCTTTGTAACTCCACTCGCACTGGACGGATTGCTAAAATTTTTGTGCAGTTGAATTTGTGAGGCAATAAGCTCTTTTAATGAATTCATTCCATGGTTACTTGAAAAAGTGTTTCAGGGCCCCTTTAATGCATTTTGTTTGACAGGTGTCACAATGAAAACGAGCCCATTCGACGATAATAGTGTGTGCTCGTACAATCTACTGCGTGTGTGTGTGTGTGTGTGTGTGTATGTCACAAAACATATTAATAAGTATGCACTTAGCGGTTGAAGGGCGCACTAGGGGCCGGATTTTGCTATCGCGTTCAACTCTTAAAGGCGAAGCCTAGGGGTCCCTCAATTTTTTTAGGTACATTTGTGATCAGTTGTTTCCAAACCAGTTGTGTGAAAACAATGCACTCAGACCTCGTAACAAAGTTGCATCTTATGCCAAAATTACTTCGTTATATCCAAAAATATGTTACAAAGGTATATTTCTAACACTATGTCTATTGCAAGACTATTCTTCATTTACTACTTTATAACTGATATTTCATTTTTGGGGTTCGTTGTATCGAGGTTTAAGTGTAGAATTTTCCTAATGTAGTGACATGCATTCTGGAAACCAAGGGCTGCACTTTGTACTTAGCATAGTAAACATTGCAGCTTATTCGTCACTTTCAGTTTGGAAGTGTGAGCTGCCTTTAAATTGTTTTCTTTTTTAAGCAAAAGGCCTGCTCTTCAATTGTGGATGAGGGCTCTACTGTTTGTCCAACCAAGATGGTCCTGAAGCATTGACCTTTCCTTATCTTTCTTGCCACTGTACGATAGGTTGCCAGAGCCCTCGCTTCCTAGCTTCAACACATCATTAATAGCTGCCATCCTGCCACAATCCTTCGTCATGGCTATTGTCAGCTTTGCCATCACACTCTCATTGGGGAGGATTTTCGGCTTGAAACATGGCTATAGTGTCGATGCCAATCAGGTAAACATCTTCAGCACTTGTGTGCGTCCCTTCTGTGCTTTGGGTACAGTAAGTGCTCATGTGTTTTATAAGCTGGCCCGAGAAGCTGCAATGGCCACAAATATGGGCAGAGTTGCTTGGTCTAAAAGGCAAAACATAGCCATGAATTTGAAAAAACTAGCCAAGAAGTAGCCAGTTTGAGCAGAGGGCCGTAAGAAGTAGCCAAAATTAGCCAGAGTGCATGAAAACAAGTATGATGTTTTGGCTTAAATTATCAACTGCAAGAGCCTTTTGGTTGAAAAGCAAGATAGGTGTAACAGCACTGTTCAGCATCATAATTGACAAAATTAAAGCATAAATTGTTGACTTTAACAATCAGTTTGTGCAAGATGACAAAGGTTCTTGCAGTGTTGCAGGTGCGACACTTTCTTTGTAGCAGTACTACAAACCTTTATTTATTATAACGTTTCTGGGAAAGTGTTTGGTGTCTTCACTAAGTCCAGGCCTCCACTGCTCTACATACTGCATGACTCTTCTTAAAAATTCCAGAAACACCAGCCTTGTGGTGATGATAAAAATGTGTATTGTATGAGTGTGCTCAAAATCGCTGGAATGGAAGCACAAATTGTTTTCACTTGCGCAGTCATTTTTTGTGGTATAGCTTAGTTCAAGTAGTTAACATTTCGAAGTTGCATCCTGTACCTAGTACTAAGAATGAATAAACACAGTTCATCGGATATCAAATTTACAATGTTGATAAGTGCGAAGCTTCCTGGATGGGGGACAAATGTCCTGTTCACTGAGTTTGGTGTTACATTTAGCAAGAGGTGGTGTAAAACATGAGGTCATTTGCAACATTTTTCACCCGAGTCTCAGCCAAGTATCGAAGTATTTTTTTTTTGTAATACAAGCGCCAAGGGGAATTTAGGGAGCTGGAAGTGCACTTTGTTCGCCTTGTTATGACATCACATATTCAATAGCTAGTGACTGTGATGTCACAAGACACTGATAAATTGCTTCGTATAGAAGAAAAAAGAAAGTAGCCAAGAATTAGCGAAGTAACGGAGCGGGTTTTTCTGTCATCACCGGTCCAAAAAAGTAGCCAAGCATGGTAAACTTAAATATGGGCATAAAGAATATAGACAGTGCCTCTGGAATGGCAATAAATAATGGATTACCACAAAAAGCCATACATGCACTCGTGAAATTGAGAGCTCTACCTGCAGTTTAGCACAGGAAGTACAGAAGTTCTGAATGAGTAACAAGAATGCACAATTATTGTTGAATAGCGGCATGTATAGCTATAGCTTAGCAGTTTGGGCTTCATTGAGATGCATGTAAAAAAGGGTTATATGCCATTTATACTCTTCTTAGTCTGTGTCATTTGCACAGAAGTTTTGGCAGTTCCTGCCAATCCAGTAATGTGCCTGTGTGAATGGTTAGAAGCTGAACACTTATGGTGGCTTCATTTTGCCTGTGTGGAAATAAAGTAAGCTTCCTGTAAAAATAAACGAGTAAGTAATCAAGTGATAATAATAGAATGAAGACTTCGTGATGAGTGCTACGTTCACAGTAGCAACCACCTCTGCCTTTGGCAAGACATGGTCGGTCAAACCGTGCAGAACCTGGAGCTTCTATTGTTGCTGAGAATTATAGGCAGAGAAAGACGAAAACAGTAAGGGAAGGAAAACAGAAGGAAAGGGCAAGCGTGCTCTGTGCTCTCATGAACTGCTGGAAGCAGGTGTGTTACAACAGTCGGTAAATAGAAGTGCACAGGGAAATAGTGGGGCAACAAAGGGGAAAATCAAGCAACAAGAAGGAGCTAATACATGAAACTGTCATTAATACTTAGACTGCATGACTATGCCTAAACAATAGCTTGATAGCTCTCATTTTAAGCTGGCAATACTGAAACTGAATGAATAATTGTCCAGAGCCCGAAGAAGCAAATTCGTCGCCTAATGTGCCGGACGTACATGTGGGCAGCGTGGCAACATATAAGCCCTGCCCGTCGGAGGTTTAAGCTTCGCTCGCATGCAAAGAAGCTCATGTTACAAACGGGCGGTTCATGAGCAGGTAAATAAGGGGTGATGTAAACCAACTAATCATAATTGAACACTTTTCCAATTGTTGCTTTTCTATCTGTATGTGCATAGCTTCATTTCGCATGTTGATTCGATGTGTTTTTGATGGAGTGTTAGGTATTGTATGGTAAATGAAACATGACACCATAGCATTCAACTTTACTTGTAATTTCACCTTTGGATGCACGGAGGCAAGTGGCAGTTTGTGGCAGTTACTCAAGTTATCGACCCAATTTCAAGGCTGTGAATGTTTTTCAGTTTGTTGGCTGCTACACGGCATATTTATTTTGTGGTGTTAAGACTATTTGGGTGGTTACTTGTCTGAAAAAGGAAACGGAAACATGCGCAGTGTAAAAAATAGTGCAATATATACATGCTTTTTTTGCAGGAACCACCATACATTTCCCTCAAGTTCTTGAACATTAGATCACTAAAATATTTCAGTTTGCAGTACGTGTTTCTTATTAGCATAGCACAAAAACAAGACATGGCCAACAACATGCGAAATCTTATGCATAGTACTTAGCAGCATCGCTAAACCAGTCATTTTGACTCCGTCATTTATGGTGTTTCTGGAAAGCTTCATCAATTTTTAATTTGGATTGTGACCTTGAATGTGGTTTTCTTGATAAACAATTTTACTTAATCTATTCATGTAGGTCTCAAAACTGCTGCAAAAGCCACAAGTAAATACAATATATATAGAAATGTTAGGTTACTGAAGCCAACTCAAACAAACTATTATAAGTGACCTTAAAATTCTGCTTTGATTTCTAATAAACAAGCTTGATTGGTGAATGCCTATTTTTGAAGTATGAAGTTTGTTCTAAGATAAATTTTGTTCTTAATGAATGGAGCCCATGATTATTTGACAAAACTGTATCACAAAATATAATAGATCAACTGAAAGCATAGGGGACTTTATTTATAGTTTCACTTGAAGTTTCGTTATTACAATGGAGTGAAATGAGATGTGGATAGAAAACCTTCATGGGGACGGATGCTTAGCATTACGTATGCGGGTTTGTCTGTTTGTTATTGCGCTTAATTTGCACTGCAGTTTTCATTTTGATGTGAACATATTTTTCATGCAATCTCTTACAAATTCCACATACAGTACTTATGGATTGAAAAAGGATAATTTAGGGCTAAGTAACTCTCAGGCTTTCATTTGCGCAGTCTATAATAAGAGTCATAATGGCACACTTTCAACTCGACCACATAGATCAGAGCTAACACTATCTTTAAAGACTATGTTTGTTGCGAGGTGATGTGTTATCTCTCACAATCAGTCGTACTAGTTGGTATGCTAAAAAACGTGATGTAGCGTTTGAGTTTGTGAGTACTGTACATGAGTGACTACCCGTAGGAGTTATAACTGAGCAGTGTTTTTCGTCACGCAGGAGTTTCTCGCCCTCGGAGCGAGCCACGTGTTCTCCTCTTTTTTCTCCTGCTTTCCTCTCGCTGCGTCTGTGCCCCGCAGCGCTGTCCAAGAGGGCGCTGGTGGCAAGACTCAGGTGGGTGACATCGGAGGTCAATGCTATGAGCTTTATGTATTTTATTTAAAGTTGTTCTCAGCACTGGTTTCTTTCCTAGTCAGGACCTCTATGAGGTTGTAGTGCTTCCCAAAGCATTGGTTGCGTGATGTCTTTTTATGCTTTTTTTTACGATGCAGGGCTCTTGATGCATCCTTGTATGACACCTTCTTGCACGCATACTCGTTGTTTTATTCATCGTGTTAGGTGTTTGTATAGCATGATGTTTTTAGTCACACCTTTGAATGTGCTTCTTGATTCATCCTGTAATATCAATGAAGTCATTTAGAGAAGAGATGCCAGTGCTCTCTGGCACGGTGTAATCTTTGTACCGGGAAAGAAAAAGAGGTGACCCTGCGTAAGTATACAGGATGCATTTACGGAGGGAGACTGCTACAGTCAAAGGAGTCAAAATGGCTGACCAACACACTCGCACACCAGCCAGCTTCTCCATATCTTCTTCTTACCTGACTTCATTTTTTCACAACATTACCTGTTCGCTGTGAATAGTTGCTTTTAGAAATGAAAAATATATAGGGGATGGGATAGCTAAGTCCTTCAATTTATTTTGATCTTGCAGCAAATTGTGTCTGTGCTTGCCTTGAGATGTGCCTTCCTTGCACAATGGCTCGACTGTCGTGCATGTACTCACTGTAGTTAGCTCATTAGCCTACTTTCAATGGAGTAGGCAGCCCCTTTCCAGATGCTTGTGTCTTCACTTTATTTCTGGAAAAAGGAATTTATTTCACTCGTAGCTCTCGGGATGTTGTGTTGTTCTCAGTGTCCTTACTTTTGAGTTGCTAATGCCTAGTTAAGACGTTTGCTGCAGCTTGCTTTCTTGAGGTTTTGTTTTACATGCGGAGTGACCCCCCAGGGGGCTGTTCGGGTTATTTTCCAGATACGCCGTAATCCACTCGGGTTCATGTGCCTGCACACCTTTCACTCGCTCCAAAGGGAAGGCACTGCTACCTTCACGGATGGCGTTTAAATTGTTGGCTTAAAAGATAGAGAGCTGTTTTTTTAGTTTTTTGTGTAAACTTTTCTGAGAACCAAAGTGAGTGGCACTAGAAAACACACGCACACATTTGTTTCGTCTGTGGTGTGCTTTCTTATGCATCTGTAAAAGGCATCATGATTCATTAACCGCGTTAAAATATTTGGGAACAGCAGGAAGAACGCCCGTAGGTATTTGAGGCAAGCTTATTTCAAAAACTGGAGCAGAATAGGGACGAGCAACACAACTGAGAAAGAGGCCGCCACTACCCTCCTGGAAAAAAAAAAAATGCACCAGGGCCATCTGACAGCTAGCGCAATGAAAAATTTGTATATTGGTTGCACTTCCGAAACTTATATGGCAGCACAGGATAGAGAGTTCTTGTGCATGGGCTATCGGTAGGTCACACTGCACGCAGCGTGCAAACAATTTCATAGAGTGTGACGTGGATCACCGGGAAGTCACGCTATCTAATGCAAGAAAAGTGTTCTGGCTATTTGTGACCTCTTGCAACAAGGCTCGTTCCTCTGAGTTGAAGTATCACGAAGTTATTGCATCTGCAAGTACAGGCGTACTCGTAACATTGCAGCTTCATAGGAGGAGCGCAGGCCATGACCTGCTGGTGACCCACCCTGCTGTGAACGTGTTAATAGTGGGCTCGTGCGATTGTTCAAATTCGCTTTGATTCGAATTTAAAATATTGAAAATTCTTTGGCATTCGAAATGAACGAATAAGTGTATTTATAGTTCGCATGTTGGCCCCTGTAAAAATGATATCGCTGCAATGGAGGAGTGCGAAGCCGTGAAAGCACCTGTTTGTATATTGTAACATTTTTTTAAAGAAGGTTTCGCTTCAGTGAAGGGCTGCTAAGCCGTGAAAACACATATTGAGAAAACATCCGCACTGCTGCGAGGCCCCACTTCAAAGTTAAATGAACATAATACCCTGACATTAATTCATCGCTTTTAAGTTTAAAAGCATGCTATACCAGCTTATATGCTCTACGTATTGCAAATTTTCAGACGTAACATTCTTTACAGGTCATAACTTGCATTCTACCGATAGTCAGATCTTGCTACATTTTAAAGTCCTTTCCACTTCCTGTGAAGAGTGGCATTCGCACAGTCCTAGTTTCAATATTTAGAAAATATTGTGCAGGTTAGTTGGGTCATGACAAATATGCCCATTTTGCTTTGCAATGTTGAATACTATTCAAATACTATTCAAATTCGATTAGAAATTATTTGGCCAAAATCACGATTTGCTTCTCTTGTCCCCTGTGTAGAATAGCAGGCTAGAGTGCACTAGCTCAGACTGACCTTTCTGCCTTCTAATGAATTCTCTCTCTCTCTCTCTATTGAACCTGAAATTCACTATTTGCTCAAGCCTAGTTAGTTGTCTACCTCTAGTTTCACTTTCACTTTTTTTTTACTTGTTCCTCTACCCGCAGAGGCGTCTGCACAAGCAGGCATTTGGTGTGTGGCAACACAACGGACTCGAGCCAATGGGGGAGGGGGGGTTTTGACTTTTTCCATGCCTTGCCGTGCATGGCTTAGCCGTGCCTGGGCAAAAGGGGATCCTTGGGGTTGAGTTAATGCGAAGTGATTGGACTTTTAAGGCCCCCCGGTGGAGGCAACACACCCCTTTGGCCCCGGCTTCACGTAGATGGCACCACTGGACGGACCCACCCAGGGAAAATTGGCAGTCGCCATTTCCTATCTCTCTCTTTCTACATCTTTGTCTTTATCTCTCACTTTTTATCTGTCCTGTCATCTTCTCTTTTTCATTTACTTCCAAATTTCCTGGCGTGAGGGTTAACCCTATGTAGTTGTCCAACCTTGGGTAGTTACATTCGGTTACAGCGGCGATGCATGGCTGGCGACTTCAAGTGTACTTCCTTGAAGCGTCCTCTTATTAGGCTCGGTGGTGGGTGACCACCATCGCCGCCGAATTGAAAATGCTTCTTATGGAAAACCCTTTTTCCGCACTCCCTGATCGCCGCCTGAAAGGTGGCGCACGGTGACAGCTTCTTGTCTGCACAGCCAAAACAGACCTTCCATAAAGACACGTAATTCATTGCCAGGATGAAAAAAAAAAGCAGTTCGATCTATTTCACGATTTATTGTCTCGAAAACGCTCACAGATGCAATTGGCCATGGCTATAAAGTAAGAAAGATGGGGAATGGCGATCTCCTTCTGGAAGTTCGCGACAAGACCCAGTACGACAAGTTATCAAAACTAGTAGCATTTGATAATATCCCAGTATCAGGGGCCCACACAGCTCGATGACCACAGTGCATGGTGTCATATCTGATGATGACCTCCTTGAGCTGTCTGAAAGTGAATTGCTCGAAGGCTGGGAGGAACAAAATATAGTGAAAGTACAAAGAATAACAATCAGGCGAGATAAAAAACAGACCCCCCATAGTTACCTTTGGTACAAGCAACCTTCCTGACTCCATTGAAACGGGTTACTGTAAGCTTCGTGTCAGACCTTATATACCCAATCCTCGCCGATGTTTGAAGTGTCAGCGCTTCGGACACGTATCTCAAACATGCAGAGGGCGCACTACGTGCGCGAAGTGCGTATCTTGTGAACATGTATCCGGAATGTGCACTTCAGAAGCCTGTTGCACTAACTGTGAAGGAGATCATGCTGCCAACTCCCGATCATGCCCTGCATGGAAAAAAGAGAAACAAATATTATAACTTAAGGTCAAGTTCAACCTATCATTTCAAGAGGCATGTCAACGGCTTTCTGCACAAAACTATTCTGAACCTTCCTTGCTTACGTGGCGCGCCGAGGCGCCGTGCCACATTTTTCGGCCCCCGCGAGATCCACACCAAGTGTGATTGCGGTTGTGCCAGAAGTGCCTCCGGCTGGAGCAGCCTGTACTGCTCCGCCTCTTGCTCAAAAGTGCCAGCAGACTTCAGAGTCTGCCGGACCCCAGGCCACAGCAAGTGCAGTCAGGTTCGAAACTGTCATAAACGTGCCTGCCAAGCAGGTACCATCTACTACCTCAAAAGAGGTGATGGACACAAGACATACTCCTCCTGTGCCTCAGACACCGAAGTAAAGACGCAGCTCTTTAAAGTGAAACAAGAAAGAGAAACCCCGCGTCACAGGGCCCCCAACAGGCCCTGTAACCTAAGGTAACATTTTTGTACACACAGCACCTAACTACATCAAAAATGGAGACAAATTTCACTGTGGAACGCCTGAGGACTCTTGAGAAACCTCGACAATGTTCAAGAACTTTTACATAAACATTCATCAAAAGTTCTGTGTGTACAAGAAACACACCTAAAACCCAAGATCACTAATTTTCTACGCCAGTATATTATTTTTTCGAAAGGACAGGAATGAAGCCGTCGCGTCATTTGGTGGTGTGGCCATTATAGGCAATCAAGGGATTGCACGTCTACCACTAGAAACATCTCTTGAAGCAGTGGCTATTCAAGTAGTTCTTCTGAACAAACTCGTCACCATCTGCTTTGTGTACATACCTCTACACCATCATCTTGAAAAACATGAATTCCAGTCCCTGATAGATAAACTTCCAGAACCTTGTATCCTCCTTGGAGATTTCAATGCACATAGCAATAAATGGGGTGATTCTCGTTGCGATGCTCGAGGTCGCCTGATTGAACGGTTTCTTTTTACTTCTGGTGCGTGTCTTCTAAATCGGAAAGAGCCCACACACTACTGCCTCGCCAACAATACCTACTTGTCAATAGACCTCAGTATTGTCCTTTATTGACATAGAACGTCATCAATAATCTTTACGGAAGTGACCACTTTCCGGTAATGCTAAGAACACCCATACCAAAATACCAAATGAATATCGCCCACAGGTCCCCAGATGGATCACTGACAAAGCTGACTGAGCACATTTCTCGCAGATTACTCATTTAAGTTGGACTGATCTATCTGGTCTAAGCATAGATGCAGCTGTACGATACTTTTCAGCTTTTCTGACCGACGCTGCGATGAAATGCATCCCGCAAACATCTGGACTGCCTGGCAAGCAATGTGTCCTATGGTGGAACACTGAGTGTCGCAAAGCATGCAAACGACAAAACAAAGCGTGGAGGTTGCTTCGGGACTCGCTGACAGCAGAGAATCTTGAAAGCTTCAAGAAAATTAAGTCCCAAAGCAGGAGGACACGCCGGCAGGCTAGGAGAAAAAGTAAAAAGTTGGTATAAGTTTTTATCAGGTATTACTTCATATAACTTCATAGAAACTAAAGTCTGGAACATGGTTTGCAACGCAGCAGGGTGACACACATCTCCACTACCTCCTGTAGACACACAAGGAGACACCTTGGAAGACCAGGCGAACTTTCTTGGTGCCCACTTCGAAGAGGTGTCCAGCTCATCGTATTATACTGCAGCTTTTCAACGACACAAAAAAAAAAGTCGAAGAACAGGAAGTACAGCGAAAATTTTCTGAACATGAGCCGTGCATTACCCCTTTCTCTTTGGCCGAGTTACAAGCATCGCTATATGTCTGCAATAAATCTGCCCCGGGTTCGGATACGAAATATTAAAGCAACTGCCCTCTGAAACGCAAAGAGCCCTGCTTTCCTTTTACAACGCTATCTAGTTTTTGAGTGAAATCCCCTCTGCCTGGAAAGAAGCCATTATTATTCCGATTTAAAGCAAAGCAAGGATCCATTTTCTATTAGTAGTTACAGGCCAATCAGACCTACAAGCTGCACGTGTAAACTTTTTGAAAAAATGATAAGCCGCTGACTTGTACATTACCTTGAAACAAACAATCTGCTCGACCCATTCTAATGCGGGTTTCGAGAAGGTAGATCCACCACTGACCACCTGGTACGTATGGAGGCACAGATCCGAGGCGTCTTCATCCACAAACAATACTTGCTTTCTGTGTTCCTCAATATCGAAAAAGCTGGAATACAGACCAGTCCCACTTTGGTGTGCGTGGCAGGATGTTTACTTTTATCAAAAGCTACTTGTCCAATCGAACATTACGTGTCAGAGTGGGCAGTGTTCTTTCCCGAACATTTGTCCAAGAAACGGGAGTACTGAAAGGTAGTGTACTCAGTTGTACTCTTTTTATTGTCAAAATGAATTCTTTGCCTCTTTGCATCCCACAAAATATTGTTTACTAAATATGATGTCCTGCTTGGATTGAAAATATGATGCCCAGCTTGGATTTAAGTCTTGTAACCTGCCGATTTGTGAGCGGCAGGTTCAGCTTGGCTTGAACAAGGTCTCCAAATGGGCAGAGGAAATCGAATTCCGATTGAACCCCCCAAAAAGCACATGTGTCTTGTTCTCCAGAAAGAGAGGCACTCATCCTGACCCTGACATTCAATTGCATGGTGGACACCGGTCTGTTAATGCCAAATACAAATTCTTAGCCTTATTTCTGGACACCAAGCTAACCTTCGTACCACACATCAAGTATCTAAAAAACGAGTGCATCAGATCCATGAATGTTCTAAAAGTGTTGTCACGCACTACGTGGGGGAGTGGCAAGAAGTGTCTGATGAACTTGTGTAAGCGCCTTGTACGCACTTGCCTGGATTATGGAGCAATATCCTATCAGTCGGCGACACTTATTGCCCTAAATATGCTTGACCCTATTCACCACCTGAGCATTCGCCTCTCTATGGGTGCCTTTCGTACCAGCCCCATTGAAGGCCCGTACGTGGAATCGACCGAATGGTCACTCCACCTGCAGAGATGTTACATGTCTTTTCTATATTATCTCAAAGTGAAGGCAGACAAGGACCATTTTTTACACCACATTTTACAATTGATGTCTCGTCTACTTCTGTTCTGTTTGAGAACCAGCCATCTTTGAGACAACCCTATTCACTTCCTGTGAGGGGCCTTTTTGAGGAAACCGGTGTGTCAATTTTTAGACTACATTTTACAATTGATGGCATGTCTGCTTCTGTTCTGTTTGAAAACCGGCCATCTTTGAGACAACTCTATTCACTTCGTGTGAGGGGCCTTTCTGAGGAAACCGGTGTGTCACTCTAACATGGTTTGATGGCTCCTGCAGCATGTCGGCCACCATGGCGGTGGCAATGAATAGATTGTGATGTGTCTTTATTAAAGATTACAAAGCACGCACCCATTGTACATATCCGCACATACTTCCCAGAACTACAACAAAAGTACACATGTCCCGAGCTCTTTACAGATACCTTGAAGTCCACACTTTCGTTTTGTACGCAGCCATTGGTCCATCCTTCTCAGATACTGGCGTCCTGCATCCTGATGCAAGCATTTTCAAAGGAAAGGCCTATGCGATACTTGCGGCTGTTAAGCACATTGCACATATAAAACTAAAAACAGCGGTAATTTACACGGATTCTCTGAGTGTGGTGAAAGCCTTGAAAACTCTTTTTTAAACACAAAAGCCCAGTTCTTGTGTCGCTCTATTCATTGTTATGCACAGTCTACTCATCAAACAGCATGTTGTAGTCTGCTGGGGGCCGGGGCACTGTGCGATATTAGGAAAAATTTTGGCAGACCTGCTGGCTGTATCCGCCAGGGGCGATGCCGCTAATACATCAATACTAATCCTTGTACTTGACATGAAACCTTTCTAAAACAAAAGCTCGGGGGTTATCGGCTGAACGTGTGGGATAGACACACAAATAATAAACTACATGTTATTAAGCCACAACTAGATAATTGTCTACCACTATCAAAATCACGACACACAGAAATAACACTTACAAGGCTAAGAACAGGACATACACACTCTATAAATTCATATCTTCTGTTTGCCGGCGATCCACCATTGTGTGAGAGATGTGGAGAACCACTTACGGTTCTCCACATCCTCTTCCAGTGCAATGAGTTAGATGCTCTAAGAAAAGAGCACTTTTTACTGCCTTACTGACAGCAAATCTCTGCCGATTTTTAAACTTCAATCATTGTTTACATTTTTAAATGACGTACATAGTTTTCACTGCATATTTCGAGGGGATCCGTAGCACGACCTCTGTACTGAAGTCACTGCTGCGGTGACTATATCCCCACTATGTTTTCATTATTATGACCTTTTGACATCCACTTTCACTGCACATATCTCATGCCACTGTCATGATTTTAATACTTCTATGTTTTTACTCACGTTAGAGCGAGGATTTTTAAGGCCCCTACACAGCCACGCGCCATATCATTGTTAACATCTCTAGTCTACTGAAGTGGCGTACTTTAGCCATCAATTGGCCCTTGCATCATAAGGCACCACACATGTTCATCATTATCACTTTTTCTTCTCCTTAACAATTCTATATATTGCAATATAGATGTTTTTTTAAAGGTATTTTATTACTGCAAAATGTTCTGTTCCTTTTTCACATTTGTGATGTTTATTCACAAAATTACAATTTGCTGATCGTTAGTCTTTGTATAAAAGGTTGTTTCCTTATTTGTGTCAAAGTTGTGTAGACATTTTGCTGTGTACCAGTGTGTATTTCGGAGCAAAAGCATTCGTCAGGCTATATAGCCCTTGCTTTTGGCTTGTTTTTTCTGTTTTATGTTCGTGAAAATAAAACCACATACCCCTACTATCAAATAGCATGTTTAATCTGGCCTTTGCTGGTATGTGGGGAAAGTCAGGCAGGAAAAATTACGAAGGGTATTATGCTTAGGTTGTCTGTTTTTTTTTCGGTTTCAGATCGTCAGCATTGTGAACATCATCATCATAGTTTTCATGATTCTTTTCCTGGGACATTACTTGGAGGAACTGCCTATAGTACGTAGGTCAAGCTCTTAATTTCCTCTCTGGCACTCAGTGTCAACATTCGAGGGAAATACAGCGTGAAAGACGAAAGACGAGGCCGAGAATGACACTGTGTTCTTCTTTGTATGCTCCCTTGTATGCCTGGTCGACCGCTAAGGTGGTCTAGTTGCTAAGGCACTTAGGTGCTGACTCGCAGGTCGCGGGATCGAAACCCGCCTGAGGCGTCCGCATTTTCAGGAGGCTAAAATGCTTGAGGCCCGTGTGCTTAAACTTAGGTGCACGTTAAAGATCCCCTGGTGATCTGAATTTCTGGAGCCTTTCACTACGGCGTCTCTCATAATCATATTGTGCTTTTGGGACATTAAACCACAACAATTATTATTCTCTGCCTGGTCTCTTGTCTTTCCTGCTGTTTCCCTCCAATATCTCGTATCAACATACCACCTAAGTAACTTTATACAGTTCATGAGAGTTTTAAAATTGCAATGGCAACTGCATCATTTCACAATTCACTGAAGAATTGCAAGGCTGCACCAGCCAATTATATTAGCAGATTGCCATGACATTGTAGTATCATACTTATTCGCGTAATGGATGCATTTTTTTTTTCTAAAAAAATCTGACCAAAGTTGGGGGTGCGTTAATTATGCAGGGTAAATTTTATAAGAGCTTTCTCGGGATGAGCAAAAAAATGTGGTAATGCGAAAAAAAAGAGTTAGGTCGCTTAGTTTTTCGTAGTTGACATACACGAGCGTACGTTGTTTGCAAACAGCTTCTTTGTGGAACTGCCCTCATATTTGGTGGTTGAAGGGGCTATCTTCTGCAAGCTGTCCCTGCGCTGCCCGCAAACTCCATAAGAGTGTTTCGCGGCTTTCTTTTCTTGCAATCGTTAACTGCAACAGTGGTATCTACCACGATTTCAAGGGGTGCCCAGAAGCGTGCGTTACGATGCTATGATGTGCTTTGCCAGCTTTGTGGCAACCTCGCACGACCGCGCTGCCGCCGTTGACATTCCAGCAAGCAACCACCAAAGCTTCAAAACAAAGCGTTGATAACAAGATTAGCGCAGAATACGGTTGCCACCTTGCTCTCCACATGAGAAGTTACTGTTGAAAAGTAGCCTATATCTTGCATTCCTTGAAGTACGAGCAGATAACAAGCACGAAGAGCAAATTGCAGCCAAAGCAAGGATTAAGAGGTGCTACGATGTTGCAGAAATCGTCGCGATCTTTTCTGGGTGAGAAGCTATTTTTTTCTGGTTTTTCAAAAACTTGTCACGTGATGGCAATCAATGGCCCTTCGTGACAGCATGGGGACAGCAAATCCTGTCGTCGTCGCTCGAAAATCGCGGGCATGTGGCTGGACCTTAAGTTTTGTATTTGCTGGAAGCAACCGTTGGCTGGCGCGGACAGTTTCGTGAGCTTCGCTTGCTGTGTGCTTATGAGCTGTGATGTCTCTACACTCGCACTGTTCATGAACCCCGCTGTGGCACACAGATAATAAATAAAGACAGGGGACTTCCCACGTGCATATAGAGAAAAGATCAATATGGCGCGCGGCAGCAGGCAAAGGGGGAGAGGAAGCGAGCCAAAGTGGCCGAAAGTGGTCGGCATAACAATGTAAAATGGAAGAGATCCAATAGGCAAGGAGGTGCGATGTGTCAGTTAGGAGGACTGCACCAGATCAATATAAAGGGTGTATTTATTATGCAGAAGAAAAAAAAATCCAGATTTTGATAACTGAAGTTGGGGGTGCGTTTATGATGCGAGTGCATTCATTATGCGAGTAAATATAATAAATGAGAGTTTTGTCAATGTTGGAATCTATCAGGTACTAAAGGTTTGTATTTGATGGAGTGCAGTGGAGAGCTGCTGTGAAGTTTTGTGGATGAAGCTTCTGTTGAATTCTGAAATGTTGCCAAGTACGCTAGATACGAGGCACATTATCTTTCTTATGGTTTATTGAGTTCCTCTTGTATGTGAGTGGTAAAGTACTTATTTGTGTTTACTGAGAATGCCCTAACTAATCCTAGCTTGTTTCCTTTTCCTTCAGTATTTTTCAGCCCAAACTTTCCTAAATACTGATATAGTTTTCTGGAGAGTTACACCTGTAATGCACATCAAAGAAACATTTCTTTTTCAATAAATAGGTAGCAGAAAGCTCTGACATCCGCACATTCTACTTTTACAACTGCAACGCTTGACAAAGCTAATACTGTGTACAGGAGCAATACGTGACGGTTTATAGGAGGTCTAGCAATCCACTTTTTGTAGTGAGGCTGTGAAAGGCAGCAGTGAGACGTCTGTTAACAAAAAATTTCTGCTGCACCGATGCCATAGCAACCGCCACAGCTACATACCAAGTGCCGCATCGGAGAGCAGCTGTCGCACCAACTGCCATTGCTTCACCGAAGAGCAGCTGTCGCCGAGTCGTTGCCTTAGCAATCGGCTCAGTTTCTTACACCTAGGCTCAGAGACAATGATTTGCACACATTCAGAGTAACAATTTTCGCATTTATTTCGTACTTACCTGTTACCTTCTCTTGGCTGCTGCTTCTCTCGCCGAGCACGCTGGATCCATCTATCGTGGGTGTTGCGATTCCCGTGCTGCAGCATGACAAGCTGAGGATCAACCAGCTTTGCTGTGCCAAGGTTTGCGCAGCTTAGTGAAAAGTTCCTGCTTTTTCAACGATTCTAAAATTCATCAATGTGATTGTAGCTTTAGTGCTGCCGATTCGTCAATTTTATCATTGCAACACTGCCAAATTTGCATTTTTGACGGTTACTAACTGACCTCCCATGTACCTTTTATCATGTTTAAACCCCTTTGTCCTTTGTAGCCCTAAAATAAAACGTTGTTCCAGCCCAAACTGGTAGATTACGAAAAAAAGATGTCCATGCCATTGACATTTTTTTTTTCAAGATTGGAATAAAACAGACAACATTGTGAAAGTATTAACGACAGTCTTTTTTCCAGCTTCATTTGTATGTGACAAATTGAGTCCGTTACATACTAGTGCTTTTAATGTGAAAGATAATTCTCCAGCAGATGCTACGATCTTTAAATTGTGTGGTTGGAGAGACAGTTTCCATCTATGTTCTTATTTTTTCAACCGCACAACTTGAGGCACAACTTGAGTAGCTGAGTACACAATTTCCAATGCTACTGTGCACGAGAATGTCAGCTCCTCAAGCTTATGTGCCACTGCAGTTAGATATCATGTGTATCACATTTGGGTCTGGCAGACAGGGCGTTTTTTAGAATTAGGCAATAAGTTGCTTTTTATTTTCAGTAATGACTAGTTCGATATTTCTTTCAGTGTGTCCTGGCTGCAATCATTGTAACTTCACTGAAGAGCATTGTGATGCAGGTTCGGAACTTCAAGCTTTACTGGAACATTTCAAAAATTGATGGAGTAAGTCATTCTAAGATCTCTTGAAAGGGTTTGATAAGAACATCTGTAGCTACTAGTTAATAGCCTTACTAACTAGCAACTACACTAATGCTTAAATCGTGTGAAGACATGCTTCTGATACAGCAAACATTTCCCTCCACATAAGATGTAAAGAAAGCGGGAGTGGTAAAAATGCTGTTGGTTAGCTTTGCAGTTTTATTTGTCTAATGATGCATACTGCAGCAGCTACATCTTGAGAGAAAATGTTGCAGCTTAAATCTCCAAAAGTCCGTGCATTTCTTCCGAGAAGGTTTAACTTGAGGTAGTAAAAGTTAACATTAAGCCTTGTGTGAAAGCGTTCCCCAAAACAAACTGTGAAGTGCTGTGTAATTCAACCCAGAAACTAGAATTTGGCAGACGTACTTAGCGCTCTTGTAATATTAAACCACACAATTTGGGTTTTGTGAAATTTAGCTGCAGTATACAGTGGAGTGTAGGAAGAAAAGAAAGATGTGGTGTTGCAGTGTATCTGTAGGGCACAAAGTTAGTGATGTTGCACTCAGGAAGCACTGGAACTGTTCAACAAACAAACCACCGTGAAACTTCTCTCTCTTTTCAGCAAGTGTGGATAGTGTCGTTTTGTGCAACAGTTGTCTTTGACATCATCACTGGCTTGGTGTTTGGCATCATATTTTCCCTGCTCACTCTCATATACAAGATTCAACGGTGGGTCTGTTCTTTCACATCTGGTTTAATATTGGGCCACAGTTTAGTCACACTTTGCTTGCATGAAAGGGAGTTGTTAACATGACTCTTTTCGGCTTTCTTTAGTAAGCACGTTTATTACATTTTCATCATTGACAGCACCTGATTTTTGTCTGTCGTCACACTCAAAGAAAAACTGAATTCTATAATACCATCCCTCAATATAGACAAGTTTGTTGGTACAAAATGGCTTGAGTAGTACAGTGAAGCCTTGACAAAATGAATACTGTTAGAATTAATTGTCTTTTATAACGAAGTGAAGGAGTGCTAACTGCATTGGCATTCATACAGTGTATTAAACATTTATCATGAATTTTTTAATACAACTGGGGGTGTGCGAATATTCGTGATTTCGAGTATTTTTCGAATAGTGTTTGCTATTTGATTCAATTCGTGCTGGAATTTGACTATTCAAACTATTTGAGCTTCCCGAAGACACAGTCATCATCGGATTGACAGTGGCCCCTTGAGATTTTTAATATGCTTCACCCCATCACATTCTCATACTGCGGCAAAGGAGCCTTTCAGGCTCTGCTATGGTTGTAAATGTATTGACTCAAGAAAACGCTAGTTCCTACATGTTATATCTGGCAGAACACACTTAATTAATGCTGTTTTGGAACTGAAATTTCGACTATTAGTTCGAGAACTTGGACACTGACGATTTTTAGCATCCAAAATTTCTTATGTTCTTATATATTGATGTCTACGAGGCAGATTTGGACTCGGAAGTGAGCACGCATTTCTGCACCACATCAGTTGGGCTTTCACAGAACTTGACAGAGCAGAAGCTGAAAAAATAGCATCTTTGCCTTTCACGTTTGAGGCGTTGTCGGCAACACTTCGGTTGTGTCAAATCATGTGTATAAGTACACTTCGGCCTTTGCATTGGCTCATTCTGGATTAAACAACTATTTGACACCATCCCGTCAGTGCTTCCTCAATCGAGCCAATCGAAACTTTCATATGGCTGTCTCATGAGAATATGTTTAAGAAATCTCTCCACTTTATTTCACAGCTATTTTTGAAATATTCGAAAAATATTGTAGAAATGTTTAAAAAATATTCGATTGGATTCGGGCTCACACTTTAATACTTGAATGTGCTTTGCCCCCAAAATTTTGGTGTTTGCTAGGCTCTAGATGTAACGCATTAATGAAGCCATTTTCGTGTCGGGTGTAACTTCACTGCCATGATATTTAACAAAATTTTACTGCGTCACCATGTGCTCAGTTTTGTCATTTCAGACCACTTTTGGGATTGGTAGGTATGTTGCAGGGCTGCTCGTTGCATCACTGTATATGTGTATGGAGCTGTGACGACAGCAAAACCTGTCATGTTATTTAGTTCAGTGAACTGGAATTCTTGTGGTGAGCACGGGGTCACACGTCTGACGCCCAGCCTTAGTGTACACGTACTAGTGGCGTCATGTTTCATAAATGCTTGTCCCCTGTTTCATAAAAGCTTGTCCCTAGGAATAATATGGAGGCTTTCACTACTGCATCTTTCGCACCTTTCTTTTGTTCTGGGGTGTTAAGAACAATGTGAAGCTGTCATTAAGCTGTCGCAAATGAATCACAATGCACTGACTGACGAATGTTTCTTGTGTCAAGCAAAAATTGGGCTTCATATAGAAGTTAGACTTTTAATAATGAAAAAATATGGCTTATCACTATAGCAAAATATGTATAGCTGTAATTTAAATTAACTGTATTAAGTTTGATATGCCTTCAAGTATTTTTATAGTTTTGTCAAATCTAAATATATCGATTTATTCCTTATACCATACAGTTTTAACATCCTGTTGGACACACATTTTGGTAACACATATATTGTTACCTGCTCAAGTGTATGGTCTGCAAGACAGTTATTCTAGCTATAAAATAATGTCAAGCTGATTAGGAGTTCTTCATTTACGCAGCCCAAAGTCGTTCCTGCTTGGCCCTGTGGCTGACACTGAATTCTTTGCGCCCATCAAGAAATACCAAATGGTGAAGTATGCTCTCGTTGCCTGACTCTGTGGATGCTAGAAATACTTGGGGGGCGGGAAGGGGGATTAGAGTAACATGCAGGGTTCGTACAGGTCCTTGAAATCCTCGAAAACCCTTGAATTTGAATATTTCATTTTTAAGGCCCTTGAAAATACTTGAATTTCCTAAGCAGTGCTCTTTCATATCGGCATCGCGACCTCCTAGATGTGGTACATCGGTGTGTGAACCTGTCACTCCGCATTTCTGAAGCAGTAATGCGTCGTGGGGGCACATGGTCCCATTTAGCAAAAGTGCATGTGAAGAAAAGAGTTTGTGGCAAGGGTGAAGCAGTAAATGTGATAGCAAAAAATTTGAATGTCACACGAAGAAGGGCAAACAACCTCATACGTGCAACGCGCCGCTCAAGCACGAAGGAGGCACGAAAAGAAAGTGCACAGGACGAGCGCTGACGAACCACTGTCACAGCTCGACGCTGGAAGCGGGCTGTTTAAACAAACCAAGAAGGGTGCTAGAAAAGAACACACATATATCCATAGAATGAGTGTAATTAACCACTGTCACAGTTGTTACTTCTTAGTTTTTGAGCAACGTGCTGCGAGTATGAACTGTGCACAAGTCAACACTCTTTATAGGGTGGTGCCATCAAATGTCAGTGTGGTGTCATCAAAGCGCCGTGTGGGTTTGAGAATATATTTTAAGTCACTTCTCTAGTGTACCTGAATGCTCGTTCCTTTAATCGAGGCCCATCGCCAGCGTGTCTAACACTGGCGTAGCTCTATAGGAAGGGCAACGAAAGTTGTAGTGACGTCACACCAGATCTGTGTTCTGGTGAGTGACCTCCGGACTTCCGCCTCGTTCATACCGGCAAAGCATCGCGGCTGCTGCAGGTAGCGGCGAGTTTGTTTTGCAGGTGCTTGTGTGGCACATGTGTGCGAGAGCTGACCATACTTAGCATGACGCGTGCAAAGCTTTGTTATTACGTGACTAAATCAGCTACACTGCTACGTACCTGCCCAACTCGGTCCCCACAAACAGGAACTGAAAATGGTCCATATCAAAAAAAGCGACAAATTATATAGCAAGAATAAATAAACCTTGGTGCATGTATTGTGTTTATTGAAGCTTTAATTAAAGCTTGCAGCAAAGAGTGTGCAAGCCACAAATATTGTGGCACGACCCCTTTAAGGTCTGACTATACATGCGCGTTGAAGCCCATCAGCGCACAACTTTCTGACCTGGCATCGTGCCCTCTCCTTATATAGAGGGTGCGAGAAGTCATTGAGACTACGCTCTTTTTTTAATATAATTGCAATATCCATATATTTATTGCAAGTGCTTATTGTAAGCATGCCGCTTCGAGTCCTTGGAAAACTTCGAACAGGTCCTGAAAAGTCCTTGAATATCCTTGAATTTTCGCCTTGGAAACCTGTACGAACCCTGACATGTGATAACTGCAAAGCAAGTGTATTGAGGAGACCCTTATGCATGCCTGCTACTGCAGCCAGTGCTGCCATCCTTATTTGTATGTCTAGGTGGTCAATTGCCCATGCTTTTTGTAACAACTCAAAATATTTATATGAGTGCAGTTGTGTCAGGGTTCCAAAATTTGCATTGCATTACTAATTTCCTGCGGTGTACATAACAAGTTCGCATAGCAGTTGCGACCAGCCGAGTTTAAATTTCTGTCCCCCTTTCGATGAAGGTCACTGAAATTCCCATGATCAAGATTTTTCACTTTGGTGGACCGGTTCACTTCGCCAACACAGAGTACTTCAGGAGCCAGCTCAACAAGAAAGTTGGTTTCACTGTGAGGTGAGGCATCATCATCATCATAGCTTGTCTGGCTACGCTTACTGCGGGGCAAATGCCTCTCCGATGTTCTGCCACTCAATTCGCTCTTGTGCTTTCTACAGCTACGTTAGACATGCAAACTTCTTCATCTCATCTGCCCAACTAATTCTCTGCCTTCCCCTCACACGTTTGCCTTTTCTGGAAATTCAGTCAGTTACCCTTTAAGGGCCACTCATCAGGTTTGACAATTTTGAGCTCACTAGCACAATGCTTAGATGATGCTGTCATGATCACGTCTGCCAAAATTCGCAATGCTACATACCGCGGGAACGGGTCAAATTTCAAGATGAACGCTGCTTCCTCTTCCTTTCGCGGGTGCGTGCTCGGAGAATCAGGGTATGACGTGCATGTATGAAGGGCCTTAGGTACACATCCGTGCAGTGACATAGGTCCTCTACGTAGACGACTGTGCTCTGATGTTACCAACAGTGGCACGCGACATGGCGGAAATTATTTAACATGACATGCGTAGTTTATGTAATTTGTTGTTTGACTATATTAATAAAACTTGCGATAAATAATTAGACGCAATAAGGGAATGTGAGCATCTTTTTTCTATTTGTTTCCCGTGAATTTCAACGAGATGCGGGGCTAACGTGCCGGCGTTTTGCATGTGTTCGTGTCCCTGCACTCAGTGCATCGAGCAGACAACAGCCGTGGAAGCAAAAGTAACGCTCGTACGCGTTGGCGCACTCATTGTGCTCAACTATTCTACTGTGTCTAAGCCAGCATTTCCAAACTATCCCGTAGAAACAGGCAATAGACACAAAATAATGCTGGGCAAAGAAACAAAGCTGCTTGCGTGCTCAGGGGTTGGGCTTGTTTGTGCATGTCAAGCGCACGTGACCCCTTGGTCGGCTTCCGGAGAGGGCAGGGAAGAAATTTTGCTTGCGAAGGCTACACGGGGGAGCGGCAAGGGTTCCGAGCTCTCTTCCTCGTTTGGCGCCATTTCTAAAAAACAGTTTTCTCAGCTCGTAATGAACTGATTGAAAAAATATTTGTAGCATCTGAAAGTTGTTGTGAGTCCTCTTCGGACTCACAACAACTTTCATTGTACAGTTGAGCCCGCTTATAACGAACCTGAGCGTGACGCGGCATTTGTTCGCTGTATCCTGAAGTTCGTAGTAAATGAAACACAGCTTTTAAAAACGTTGCGAGTGAAAACACAAACTTTTTTTGCCTCAAAAAGTCTGTGATGCAAGTGTTTTGAAGAGCATAAACAATAAGGGCGGTCTCGAGTTCATTTAAAACGGCAGGCTGCTCGTTCGCCGAGGCCCGTGGCATAAGCTGCATGAGGCGCTGGCTCCAAAGCTTCGTTGTTCTCGCAATCCGATTCCTCCAAATCACTCGCGCCACGTACTTCATTCACAATGCCCCAATCTGTGCACGGTTCCGCAGTGTCGGCATCATCATCGGCCGTAATTAAATCATCGCAACACATGTCCCAACTGCTCTCCCAGGTCGGAGTCGACGCGCTGCCACAAACCGCCGCCGCAGTGGTCCTGTTCGGAAGCTTCAGGCTCGGCATCGCGCCTCACAATCGACGAAGTCGGCCTCGCGAAAATAGTTTCGCCCACATGTAGCTGTCACCGCCGCCCATGAAATATTCACCATCTCCACAGCTCTATACCGGGACGCCTGAAGCGGCAAGTTGGCTGCCAGGTGGTCAACAGCTATGAATAAGCGCTCCGCAACGCCGCACCTAACATGCGGATTATGCTCAAGCGAAGTGGTCACACTTTCGACATTTTGTTGAGCGTGCTAGTCCTCCCGTCGGCCATCATGACCACATACACACACACACCAAGAGCGAGCAAGACGCGCACACGCGTGGAACAGCCCTGGGCGCGTTTCCAGTCGGAAAACGAAACTAATTCGAGCCAGCATGGCAGGCGTCGCAGAGCGGTGGAGACGGGCGAAGTGGTTGTGATCAAGAGAGGAGAGCTGACTTGCGAAAGAAGGGAAAGGAGTTGCGATAAAGCACGGGGGAATGAGATTCCTTCCTCCGTGCGATAAAGAGAGGGGAGGATGCGGCGGGCGGGCGACCTTGAAAACCAAAACACACGGGATGGAGGCAGGTTAGGTAGCTTGCTTGAAAGGTCCGTGAAACTTGCACGTAGAAAAACTTGAAAAGAGTGCCAGCGCGCGTAGAAGTCAAAGCATGGTCGCCTCGTTCAGTGCATGCGGCGGCGTTTGAAGAATCGGCGGCCGTGATAAAAAATTGTCTTGTTGCGCCGGCGGGTTTGCGTGACCTCACGAAGTTCGATATTTCGCGATTCATTCCGCGCAAATGAACAGCCGTTTTCGCGCTTCCACACGCGCGCGGAAGGCATGCTGAGTTGAGTGCGAAGTGAGCGAGAACAAGTCCTAAACACGAAACGAATCGCAAATTGTCAGAGTCGGTGGGGTAGCGTACGCGCGTGCACTAGACGCAGACTAACGATACAGTCGGTGGCCGACGATGTTGGCAAATGTCTGTTCACTCCAGACCGGTGACGCCAACGATGATACCAGCGATCAAAAACAGGGTACGCAGACTGGTAGAGGACGCTCGCTGAACCAATGCTGAGACCACTCAGCTGTGAAGAATCGGTGACAAGCTTGCTGAGCGGGGGCTGCCCACCTCTGTGTGGTGGGGCCGTGACGAAGGGGTTGGCCATATCGCTGGTCGACCGCGAATGAATCACGACATGGCCACTGAAATTAGTTTCGCTGAAATCTGTCACTCATACCGATGGTTGCAAAGGAGCTAATGGTGCAGCCGTGTAGTAGGGCGGACTGGTAGGCGGATGAGGAATGGTTTTATCAACCCAACCACCTTGTCGCTGGAGCTCTTCACGTACTATTGCCCAAATAGTAGCGGCAAGGTCGGCGGGCGGGCTCACGTCGACGCTGGCGGCCGTTGTCACATTTGCCAGCCTACCAAATTTCGGGGCAATACGCCGGGTCTTCAGCTTCTCGAAAGTAAGGCAGTGACGTTGGACGGCGGAGACAGAGGTGAGGTTTTTCCTGCCTATCAAACATATACAAGTCTATGATCTTGCAGAGCATCAGTACCTCCTCTATGTAGGTGGTACACGTTTCTCCAGGAGTCTGAGCTCTTTGAGCCAACGTGCGCTCTGCGCTTTTCTTCTTTAAATCAGGGTCGTCGAAGCATTTCTTGAGTTCTTCAGTGAAACGATCCCACGTTGTTAAGTGGTTTTCGTACCACATCAGGGCGGTTTCGTGAGAAATAGCACGACATTTCCCAGTTGGTCGGTGGGATCCCAGCAGTTGTACCGGCTCACCCTTTTGTAATGTGTCAGCCGCGCATCCACATCTTCTCCTGCTCTTCCCGCGAATGAGCGAGGTTCCATATAGTGATACCGAGGTGCAGCCGGCACTGATCTTTGCGTGGTTGAGAAGCCGTGACCTTCGCTCTCAGCCATGACGGTTGTTGTCAGTGGCAGACCGGCAAGACGATGGCTCCCGCGAAGTTCAAACAGATGTGGCTTCGTGGTTCGCCGACGTGCTGTACCCAACACTTCCACCACTCTGTTACGTTTACGAGAGGGGTTTATTCAGAAGCGGCGTAATGGTCGACTCGAGGGTATACAATCACTGCGCACCGGAGACCTCTTGCCACCAACCAAACGACCTCTTCGTCTGGCACTACCCTGTTCTCCGCTAAACAGATGCACATACCTAAATTGCATATGTGGTAACAACATATATATATTGTGGGGATCTGAGGCGCGCCCGCAACTATTTTGCGGGTATTCCGCCATACGGCCACACCCTTTTGCTTTTCCTGCTTTGGTAACAGCACGTGGCGATATATGGCACCACGTGTGGGCGCGGCACGTGTTACGTGCGTTTTGAGGGAGCTGTCTCTCCTCTGTGGTCGGCGCCGGGTAAGCACGTGTTTCCTTCGTCCACGTCCCCTTTGGGAATCGCCGGACTGTAGCTTGCCTGGGGGGCCTTTGGCACCTCGGCAGGCGTGTTTACTTGAGTGCTAGCTTCGGTACCGTACGCTAAGCCTACAGTGGTGCTTAGGGCTTGAAGTGGTCGTACCACACTGAGCCGCACTTGCCGTAGGCCTACGCGTACGAGGTTTGCCCTATCACTCGCGACCAGGCCCAGTGGCCATCATGAGAGTGCGCAGCATAGCCGCGAAGGACCTTTTCCCGATCGGCATGTCAAAACTCGCCATTGCCAGCTGCAACAGGCTCGCGGTTTCCCCTTATTGTGAACGTCCGCGTGCGGGTGCCTTTGCTCCCCGCGTCCCGGGAGAGGACGTTGTGCTGTTGTTCGGGGTGCCGCCAAAGGCCATAAAGTGTTGTGTGCTTGTAATGGAACACTGTCTGTTATGCCGCGCCGCGCCATATGCCTGATTAGTTGAGCGCGCGCGGAGCGGTGCGCTACACGCGAGTAGGTGACGGAGTCGCGGCCCTGTGTCTCGCTAAGTGTGAACCGGCGGTGATCCGCTACGGTGAGTAGCGGAGCTGCCATAATATATATATTGTCGCGGGTTATAAATTACAGGGGGTTTATTTAGAAACACGGACAGTAAAACTTGCAGAGACGCTCTCAGAGAAGGCCGCTAAGATTGTCGTCTTCTTCACTCGCCTGCGCTGCGCCTCTCGAGCAAATCCGCGTTCTTCGTTGTCGTCGCTATCTCGCCGCTAAATGCAGCTATGCACGCGGCATTACCCTCCCGCCAAAGTGAGCGTCGTCCCGATGCTCAACAGGTAGAAATGCGGCCAGCGGGTGTTTACATCACTGAGAGTGGTAAAGTTTTATGCGGACCACGTGCACTGTCTCAGGCAGATGCTGGCGACGTTTCGAACAGGACGAGGCGTCGGGCACTACTTCGTACGTCACGTCGCTAAGACGGCGCAAGACCTTGTAGGGGCCGAAGTATCGGCGTAGGAGTTTCTCTGAGAGGCCTCTTCATCGTACAGGAAACCAAACCCAGACTC